AACTGAAATGCGAGTTATATAGATAGCAATCAATCGCTAAAATCTAATAAAACCGAAACGCACATTTGTTAAATGTGTATATTTATGGGAACATTTGTTGCGAAACCGTTACAGTGTGTGCGTTTGAATGTCATTATGTTGCGTGACTTAACAGAAGTAACATATATCGAAAATGCGCAGCAAAACATTCACACATTTATCCAGCACAGTGGAACAAATGTAATTTCAATCGAATTTCATGTTCCATTCGTCCAGCGTTACATTGATAATATAAACGAAATGCCGTTCGTAGTATTATTGTCGATTATTATTATAACCATACTGAATAAAACATGTTGTTTTTCATATTTTTTGGATTTGCAGGCTTCATAGAAAATAAATCTGGACAATTTTTTGTCATTGTCCTACTCACAAAATCACCACAATACAAAAACCATTTTTTTTATTCACATCGAATAGGTATTCTTTGGCATTGGAAATAATTGCGTTTTTATTCCATGTTGTTTTGGCTTCATTCCATTGTATTTTGGCATTTTCAACCTCAGAGTCGAACCTTTTTCTTAACATTTTGTAAATCCCACATAATTTTCGATTTCTTTTTGAAAACAACAGTCCAATCTTCTTTCAAAAAAGGGAAAAATTCAAGCTAAAATATATACGACGAAAAAGGTTGTGTGATACTTGAATAACAACAAACGGACATAAGAATGATGGAAAAAAATTGATCATTTTCATTGTTGTCGAAACGAGGTTAAAGACTAAGAAGCAATTCAAATATAAATTAGGCACTCTTCTATGACCCTTCGCATTATGGCGGCGTTCACTGAAAAGAATGAAAAGCTTGTTTGCCTATTTCATTTTCCTAGACTTCAAGTTGTTTCGTCTAACATTCATTCGCTTGATGTACACAACATCACATAACGAGAAATAAAACGGTTGACGGGTCATCATTTGGCGGAGGGAACAATGATAGCAATGGATTCAACGAAAAAAACCCTAATTAATTTTCAACGATCTTTTTATGTTGGAAGAATCTACTCGAACTTTCACATTTGGTACTTGAATACTATGATTTGTTGTTTGGAGATGATAGAAGAATAACAAAAACATTAGACCCCAAAGGACTTGAAAACACAAACATAGGAGAAAAAAATTACAAACAGGAATATTTTTGAAAGAAGGCACTCTCGCTACTTTCACCACTTCTATATTCGCCTTTGAATTCTATTCGTATCTGTAAAGAGACACAACAGCTCCTTTCTTTATTGTTTACATTGACAGCCGAGAATTATTTTGGAAATTTTACGAACATGATTTAATACGTACAAACATTATTTTATATTGTACATAATCCACAAGTAAAGCGAGTAGAGTGCGAAAATAGAACATTAAACATCTAACAAAATAAATAATTGGAATTCAGATGGTAACTTGTGTATTTGTTACACGATTTCATACTATGAACAATGTAAAGTTTACAAGTTTACAATGTTTTCCAAAATATTTAAGTTTACCCAAAAAAAAGTTTGCTCATTTAAACTTTTTTAGATAATTCAGTATGATGCGCTAACAATAATGTTAACACTTCTGTGTTCGAAAAACAAACTAAGCTCTGGGATAAAATACTCGACAATAAAAGTGAACTGAACTTCTTCGCAGTAAGGAGAGCACGAGAGAGAGAAAAAGCAAGAAGCATAAAATCAGTTCATTCGTCAAACAGTGTGTGTGTGTGTCGATGTGAAGAAAATGTCTGATATTTCCGCCCACTGTAATTGTGGGTTTGTTGTGTGGCTATGTATTTGATTTTATTTGCTAAGTCATAAAAAGTGAGAGATCTCAGCGATATTAATTCTGGCGTCAAGAAGAATTGCGTGGGTGGTGATTTCATTTGCCATTTTACGATTTATTTATCTTCTTAATGTGAATCTACGTACACCTGCTTTGGATGCTTTTTTTTATCTACCGAGAGTGATAAATTCGATTCTGATGAGGATAAATTCGGTGAAAAGAAAGCAAATTGGACCTATACTGACTCTGTCTATTGTTAATTTGATAATGGATGACCTGAAAATGCCGCATTTCTGTATTTTGTCTTCTTTTCTTCAAAAGATGTTATGGTCTAAATTGTAGAGAAAAAAAATACGAACAATGTAATGAAATTGATGGAAATGACGAAAACGTAAAGTTGGCCAAATCTTATTTTCTAAATAGGTTGGTTTGAAATATTTCCCTCATTTCAGCCAAATCACTCGTAGATTGCAAACTTTTCTAATACTAACTCTTGTATTTTAGTCACTACTGTGCACGTTCAAACTTCACGTTCAATATTCGCCAGTGATTTGTGGTGAAAAATGCTTTAAGCCGCATATTCCCTTCAATTTCGTCGTGTCTTCATTTTGTTCATTTTAAAAACGTGAATTGCGTGGCTGATAAATTGACAAATGAAATTCGGATGAACTGCGAGAATAACAATAACAACAAAGATAAACAAGTATAGAACAAAATGAACATAAACCATTTGGCTTAGCTAACAATGTTGTGGCACAATTTATGTTGTTTTGGTTATGTCCTTCAACATAATGTTATTATTATACACTTGAAGCTTTGTTTTTGAGAAGAAGAAAAAAAGATGTTGAAACTTCAAGTAATACGGTCTTATTTGAATCATTTCAACTAACAAATCGAGAGTATAAGTAGTGTGTTTGTGTGCATATTTTGCAATATCCATTGTTTAAAATCATTAATGTTGTGTACAAAACTGCCATTCCAATGGCAAATAGACGAATCGTTTTCTGGTTGCATTACTCTTTTATTCAAATGCTAAATTCCAAGATGTCGTTCACTTAATTGAATGAAATGGCAATCCATAAGAGATGCAAATACACTTAAACTGAAGTGGGTTTCAATGGCCAGAATCCTATTCTCCGTGTTTTGTTTCAAATTGAAATGAAATTTATGTGCTCCAACCGAAAAATGGTTTTCTATTTCCAAAAATACAAGTAAAATTGACTTCAGGAAAAGATTTTTGGATTTATATCAATCTGGCTGTCTGTTAGCAGCAAAAACTTTTCTCAAGTTTGATATTGCGGATTTCGGCTCTTGCGGGCGATCGACCAAAGAAGTAAAAGTCTTTTTTTAGAAGCTAATCTTTTTTGCAAACTCTCGATGTCGGTCATACTCATCACTTAGAGCCCATAACTTACTCATACCACCCGCAAATAAGTTAAGTGACTGTTGGCAAGACTTTATTATTGATGAGGTTGTAAATGTATATTTTATTGTCTGATTTTTACGGAGTACAGTCAGCATAAGTCATACATGATGTTTGATATCGATTACACACATAACATCAACGAAGTTCAATTTACTTTTGATTGAAATGAATTTGAAAATGTTTCATAAACGAGCTCATTTCTAGCAGCGCATGTGAAAGCCGTCTCTTTTACCTTATTTTACCAATGTTACTATGATATAAGCTCGCCTTTTTTCATTCATCGGTGATGCTCAACTGCGTATTGACGTTTCACCTAACTTGTAAAGCGAAACAAATTGAATGCGAAAACTTCATTTCGAAATGGAAAATTATTTTGCACAAAACAATACGATTCCGTTGGGAAATTAAACTGAAAACTGCCCGTTTGTACAGAAGCATATGTATCAGAAGGATGCTACGAAGATATACAATAAAAAAAGAACGCTGCTCTCTGAAGAGCTGAATTGTGGCTCTAAAAATTATTATTATTATTATTTGTTATACATCTGCGCTGTGAATGGGGCCATAGAGAAGTGCTCACTTTGTTGCTTTAATATTTTAAATTTTCCGTAAGTTACGTTTCCAATAGAGAAAATAATGCAACTACATAATACACAGCACTTCACCGTACACTGCACGGCGGATACATTCCATGCATATGTTGTCATAATGAACGCTTTTGTGCAGCATCGTTTTTCAAGTTTGTAAGATATTCTGCAGATTGCTTCACTCTCGAAAATTTCATTATTTCACAAAAGAAATTAACACAGAAATTACAGTGCTGAAAACTATGCACACACGAAACTTTCAGACTGAACACAGCGAACATATTTACATGGAATAAAAACAAGAGAGACACTAGACTATTCGCACAATTCATAACAATGACGAAAGTAAAATAAATGAAATGCTTGAAAATAAAGTCGACAACAAAAGTTGCTTAAGAGGCATGACTCTTGTCGGAATAAATCGGTGTACAAAATAGATACATGCTTAAACTCGTTTTGTTATACATGCAAAATGGAAAAAGTACTTTTTTCATTAAATGAGAATTATTTTTAGATAAACTTTAGATTTTTCCATGAATAGTTTGCATATAGATTTGTTTTCAACTTCACAAAATATATATCAAGTTGTTCTTTTCATGTCAGTTATACTTGTTTTCATACTGCTCATTCATCAAATTGTGTGTAGCGGTGATTCAATGATGTTGAATGGATTTGCAGGGAATTTCAGCTTGCTACAAAACATCCATGTGATAAATAAACTTTTTGTCAAAATGTCACCTGTATTAAAGATTGTTCCAAAAACTTTTAGTTTGAGTTGCATAGTTTAGTTAGTGGTTGGTGTGGAAAGCGCTTTAGAAATTTGGAAAAAAATCTACAAAATTTCCACTTATTACCGAAAAAATACTATGCGTATAAAACTTTATAAAAAGTTGATTTAAATTTATCTAACTGACAGACGAAAAAAAAAACTATTACATAGTCATGTCGGTGCTGGTCCTTTCTTCAAATAACGAATTTCTAGATAGTTTCTTTTTGAAAAACTTTGTTGACATGGCACACTGCACACTGATTTTAATCGCTTTGTATATTTTTTGGTTTAAAAGTAGTTTGATAAAATTGGAGAAAAAAGGTATAATGATAATTGTTCGGGCTGTGGGGATTTTCATCAAAATAAATTGCTACATCGAAAATGTGTTTTTGTGTAATAATAAATAAAAGATGTGTTTGTTTATTTTCAGGCGGAAATATGGAGCGTATTTATAGCGATATTACGTAAAAGTGTACGTAATTTACAGGCGTGCACCGATGTAGGATTAATTGAACACGTTTTAATGCGACTGCAACGTGCCGAAACTGTTGTTGCTGGTGAGTATGAAAATGTGTGCTTGATTTTTGTTGTCAAACGTCGTTATGCAATGATGTTTCTTTAAATGTTTGAAATGTTCATTTGTATTAATTTAAATGTAAAAGCTCATGCAATGCAATCTAAATGCATATTCGCCCAATCTCACATTGATTTAATAACACATTTAAAGGTTAATGCAATGTTTTGTGTAGCTCATTTCCAACTTAATGAATAATTGCGTATACTATACGTAACCGATGACAAATAATTCATTTGAGTCATAAAAACCGCTTCAATACCGCTTGGTGAAATCATGCTGAAAAATAAATCACGGGGTTGCAATTAAAATGACATTTCAAATGTGAATAGTTGATCTCATTAAAATTAGTACTCTCCGTAGTTGCACGTGTCTTTGTCTATATCAAAAAATGTGATAAATCTATTTTATGAAGCTATTTTAACGTGAAATAATGGAAACGAGAGCAAAACCTGTTCAAAAATTTGCTTACGCAGTAGCATTTGATGTGCATATTGCATTGAATTAACAATAAGCGTTTTCATAAAATGTGAAATACATAGAGTGAAAATTACCTTTTTGTAAAATTGTCAGAGAGAAATGGAGAACAAAACATGGATAGGTTGGTGCTTGAATATATCAAAAATACACACACACACACTCCCGCTCCCGCTCGCGCTTTGTCTGTCACAGGGAATTTTGTTTTCGTACAACCAGCCATTAGCCATTATTCGCAGCATCGCATTCTATAATATATCTATTCACATTTTTCGCAAATGATTTACAAATGAATCAGAGGAGCGGGCAATAATAATTTTTTCAAGCGAGTACCTGACTCTCATATGACACATCGAGTCGTTTGTTCTCACTGTGGAAATGCGCTTGATGAAAAAGTTCTTTCGGTTTCACCCTCTCTTGCTCCCATACAAACAACAACACTAATAGACCCAGTTTTTGCCACTGCGTCTGAATGCACCAAACACATTTATCTTCATTCTCCACTGTTTCATGCTTCATAGGAATATATATCTATGTGTTTTGTGAACTCATTACGTAGACTTTCGCATCCTCTTTTCCTGTTTTCCCATTTTCATCAAATACTTTTTGTTGTTTGTTTTCAACGTCACATGTCCGTACATAGTACACACATGGTTTCAAATGTAATTCTCCAAATGATTCTGTGTGACAAGTACATTCTCCCTTTGCGATCTTTAACTCTTTTTTTTCTCCCGCATATGCACTTTTTGAAAACATAGAATGAAACATATTTCTATAACTAGCGATGCGTTTATATACTTTGTATATATCCAGTCACAGTGCATTTCAAAATATAAAATGTTATTCTGCACCATTTGAAATGTGACAAAAATGCTACTGTTGCGAAGGAAAAGGCACCTTTATTCCGTTTCATTCATTTGCTTCACTTCAAAGAGAACAGTTATACCATTGCAAAAACAATGTTAAAAACACCATATTAAATTCATTTTCCCAAAATCATGAACCTCGTGTATGTATTCTCAGCAAATTTTGCTGTTCAATGGTGTCAGCCATTCGCACATTTCTGTGAAAAATGTTGGAATTTAAAATTTGTTCCAAATTAATTTTTAGTTGATTTCGAATTTATGTTTTATTCATTACAAACATGAATAAAAACTTTTGAAATGTTATCTGTAATTAATGCTTTTGGTCGCTGAGAAAAAAAATGCTTATGTTATTTTTATTTATATTCGACGTATTATCATGAATAAAATATTATACTTAAACACAAATATAAAACTGATTGACGAAAAAAAATTGACATAAAATGGTAATATGGCTGAGAGCTGAATGTATCGTTTTCATCAGTTAATTATAAAGTTATCATGGAATCGAAATCAAAATAATTAATTCTCGTTGATAGTATAAAAACCCGTCGAATGTTATTATTGTATTTATATTTTTCGGTATTTTCTCTAAAATGATATGAAATATTCATAATTAAAATATCAATTTACTGTTTCGGATAAATTCAATCGTTCATATCGATATTTTTTAACTATATACTTCAACTGCACGATAGACTATTTCGAAGCTTATATTTCGACTTAGAAAAGTAATGCATTGCATTCAATAAAATAACCATCTATAGAGAATGAGTCCAGCTGATTTGCAATTCTTAATGAAATTCACAGTTCCATCGCAGTTTTTCATCACAATTGAAGTGTTTGTTAGGAATGATATTTGAATAGTATGAATATTTTCCAGAGAGTTTTTTCCGTTCGTTATACATGTTGAGCTAGGTAAAGTTTCAAATGATGTTGCCATTGTTCGAGAAGGCATAAACGCGTAAAATTGATTTGTTCCATGTGAGATATGATGATTTTGCAGCACATTGCACTATTTCCCATCTTACCGTATACACATTTTAATTTTAAACTGAACATGTTTGAATATCCTGTGAATTTACTCGTTGTAAAACGGATAAATTTAACTCATCTCGAATAAAATCATACACTTCAATGCATAAAATTGCTGTTGGTATACATTTTTTTTGCATATCGAATGTGTATCATAAAAATGTCGTGAAAAAAATGCTTGAAAACGCAATTGTGAACAACTGATATAGTGTTTCGATGCATGCTTTCATATTATGTCGATGGATAAATTATTGGAAAAACACCTGAATACACCATTGTGTTCGCCAGCAGTCTTTGACGCCTCACATTTTTTACATTTTCAAATGCCATTATTAGAGTATCATATTGTAATGAATAGTTTATTGTTCCGATGATCTAAATACACCATCAGAAATGGTCCCAGAATGTGTGTGGCGGCAAGCACCAATCATTTTTCAGCTATTATTGGCTATAAGAATGCTATTAAAGTGTCTTTTATGGCCTATAGACGGCGTAATAATTTTGGTGCTCTTCTGACAGTTGCGATTTTTCGGCTGTTGAAGTGTGATAACGTGATATTTCATGTGCATGATACAAAATCCTGAAAAATTTAGACGACGACAAAAATGACATTGATCGAAATCGATTTTCACAAGGATGTTACTGCATAGGACGTGTGATATATACGAGAGATGCGAAATTTAATTTATCTCATACCGATATACATTTAAAATATACAAATTACAGTTGAACATGTGCAAAATATTCCTACTATCATCTAACTCGATCAGTATGTTACACATTTCCCTCCCTCTATCAATTTATTCGTAATACATCTCGAATTTTTGGAAAATTCTGATGAATTTTTTTGCCTTCGATGTTGTGTATACACATTTCTAATATCGGCAACATATTTCTTGCCTTCATTTTCGGTTTGCAAATCAATCTGCATGCGGCCGTGATTCGAACTTTTCTATAACGTAAAAATGGTGAAAGAAGAATGAAAGAGAAGAACAACTATAAATCTAGGAAATTTTATGTGACAACAACATCACTCAGTATTTCATTTCGATTCCGTTTATGTTGGCATGTGCGATTGCCGTTTTTTCTTCGATATCGCACATTCGAACAAAAGTTTTCCGAGACGACATGTTCCGCTATATGCCAGAGCACGTTTGCCCTTACATATTTCATTCATGGTGATACGACTAATGGAATAAATATGTGACGAAAGATGCCAACCATACGCATTCACTTCAAATTATGGAAAATAGATATATATATATTGTTGTTGCTGTTGTTGTTGAGATGAGACCCTAACATATCACATGAACAGAAAAAAAGTCGACGAAATAAAAATGATAGCATCTGAGACTGATGTGTACATATGAAATATATCAATAGACAGAAAGACGTAGGCTAAAAAAATTGATTCCCCCCAATGTGAACCTTCCGCATAGATGGGAAACATTTGAAGAACACAAATTTTTACCGGAAGCATCAATAATATATTGTGATTTTTATTTTCTTATTATAATTTTTATTTTTCATTTCTCTTGGTATAAACAAACGGATGTTCGCATATAATGCAAAGCAAGTGAATTAATTTTCATGCAAACGATTTCAATTGCATGACGCAAATCTCATTTTTCAATTACACTGAGTTTGTACTACCATGGAAACTGGATCTAAATTTAATATAAACCCAAAAAAAATGTAGACATGTGTAAAATATTCTCATTTGAATAACAAACTCTTCAAATAATTCGCATGCGAAAGTATTTTCATTACTTGTCTCTATGTAATCACTTGCCATATTCATCGTAATTTTGCTTTCGGTTGGGTGGAATTAAAGCATACATATAAATACTTTTAAAAACCGAGTAAGTAACCGAGTATTTTTTGTTGGTGTTCATTTAGATCGATGTGGTGTGTTTGCACCGAAATATTTATATTTCGGAAGTAAGTGGAAATCATCCCGGGCACATGCGGTTACGAACATTTACTTTAATTCGAAGCTTCCGTTTTTTATCATGTTTTAAAATAAGAATCATTATGTAATTGTATTGGTCAACGTGAGAATACACTGTACGACCGATTGGCGGAGGATTGTAGGCGTCATAAAAAAACTATACGATTAATGTATTTTTAATATGCACATGACCTTAATAGGTTCTATTAACTTACATCGATTAGCAAATATTTTATATTACAAAAATCAATTTATAAAACTATAAATAAAGTGAAATGAATGAACTTTTTTTGTTGCAGATTTACTGATTGAAATGTTGGGAGTGTTGGCAAGTTATAGCATAACAGTGAAAGAGCTTAAATTATTATTCGGCGCAATGAAAGCTATGAACGGGAAATGGGTGAGTTTGTTCGATTCATTTATCATAATCTGTCGATATTTGTGCTCGGTGCAGCGATAATTTTATTTTCAACCAAATTACCTTCACAGCCGCGTCATTCAGCCAAATTACTAAACGTTTTGCGTCAGATGCCTCATCGAAATGGACCAGATGTGTTTTTTAGTTTTCCTGGGCGCAAGGGATCGGTGAGTCACTGTTTTACTGTATTGTGAATTAAATAGAGAGCGATTTTTAAACAGACCCATTGCATTTTAATTCTATTTTTGATGTTGTTATTGCTGGAATCAACCATCCCATTTACAACGATTTCAAATGCTTTCACGGATTTTGCATAAATTGCAAGCAATAAATACTTCATATGCTAATTTTGAATGCACAGTCCATTTGCGATTTTTTGCATATTATTTATATTCACACTTAAAAAAATATATTAAAAAATATCGTGCCAACAACATGTATTTTATCGATCGTAAAAATGGAAAACTCCATATTTTTCATCGAATATCAAATAATAAAAAGGGCATGGTTACGTTCAATCAAAATATATATTGCACCTGATATTATTGTTAGTTCGATATCGCATTTTATTTATTGAATAGCACTACAGATTTTGATTGCTACTGAAATGTTATGCCATCCAGGTTGATATAATTTCTCAATGATAAATTCATCACAATGCATTACATATTGACTTTTCTGATTCAATCAGCTGATATCCTTAAAATGATTGATATTATTTGTAACAGATAACTTGACAAACAATTGTTTATTGCATTTCAATGGCGTAATCCGAACATCTGTAACTTTAGTCAAAATCGAAAAATAGTTGAATATATTCATATTGGCATTCCATTTATATTTCAAAAGTGTTCATTTTGACTTTTGAACTTAAATTCAATGCTACAAAGGTCGAGCTTCATGCAACTTGGTGCTTTGGTTTGAAAATTGATCCAAAATCCATTTGCTAAAAATGCCCATTTTGCCTTTTAATCAATCACTGGCAAAAGATCGGTATTTGATGTCCAATCAAAAGTTCAACAACAAGCATTGGGGAAAAAAATGCGCAAAAATACGTTAACTTTTTTTCTCCGTTTCATTTGCATTCATTTTTCTTTTCAGGGTGTTGTGTTGCCACCGCTAGCGAAATGGCCGTATGAAAATGGCTTTACGTTCACAACGTGGTTTCGACTGGACCCCATCAATTCCGTCAACATCGAACGAGAGAAACCGTATTTATACTGGTGAGAAAATGGAATGAATTGAAAGAGAATACAACGGAAAAACATTCCAATTGCATAGTGTGTTTTTTTCTGGTTTCGGGCATTTGATTGCATATATGTACATTTCAGTGTAAGATTGAAATTGTAAACCCCCTTTACAAAACGTGCTACTCATGAACAAAGAAGAAAAAAAAACCTACTAAATATTCCAAAGAGAAGATATCCAATCAACTTTCCATTCACTTGATTATGGAGTTTTTGTCATAAACTATATAGCGCCCAATCTGCGAAACGCGTTTATCGCGAACGAAAAAAAAATTCAATTTCATGACTTGCAAATGCCATTTGTAACTACTAGTGATTCTGATTATTGTAGGTCAAACGAGTCAAAGTTTGTCAAAAACCAATTTCCATTTGCATAAAAGTTGTGTTCTGTAGAAAATAACACTTCCTCGTTTTGTACCGAGAAAGAAAAAAACCATGGAAGCGATTTTTTAATTAAAAACTCTTGCTTACTCGTCGAAGCAAACAACTTTTACATCACACGAAATATTTTCTTTTTGACCATGTACAAAAATTTTGCTCGGGGATTTCAGGCAGCTGACTTGGTTTTGTATTTCAGTTACATTTTTCCTCACAGCACAAAAAAAAACACAGCAGAATTTACAGCTGTGTGGCAAAGTGGCCGTTGCGCCTTCACTCCGGTGAATTAAAAATAAATGACGAAGTGAAATGAAAACCGTTGCTCGCATTTGCACCACTTGCAATGCGAGTGGATATATGCAATCCGAAGAAAAAAACAACCGAAACAAAAAAAACTATGTAATTTTCATTTTCAACACCTCTAGCCCTGTTGTTCCAGTCTAACTTAATTTATTTGAAATTGCGTTGCATTTTTTTCAATGTTGTTTTTTTCTCATCCATCTATCTTTGGTCGCCGATTCCGTGCCACGTTTGTTTTTTTTCGTCTGTTGTTCAAACCAAAAAGTTTCAAAACATCCAAAGGCGTTGGATATACAGCCCACTTTGTTGGAAATTGTTTAGTATTGACGTCGATGAAAGTAAAAGGCAAAGGCTTTCAACACTGTGTTAAATACGAATTCCAGCCCAGAAAGGTAAAGTATCATATCGTTTTAACATTCACGCCACTGTGACACGTAATATCTTGAATGCATTTTAAGTGCGCTGTTTTGAATTTAATTCGAACGCACTGGCTTTGCCGCCCGAAATGACTTCCACTGTCAAACTAACGGAAGTAACAACTGGCAACCTTATTCAGATCGCTTCTCTTTTTTTCTTTTTCTTTTTTTAAATTGAAATCACCCTCACACTGTGAGTTTTCAATCTAAAAAATATGTCGCGATCCTGACAGTCAATTTGGCCTGTCTATTTGACTGGAATGAAATTGGAAATCTATTGCGCAAACAATCGTTTCCATGTGAGATTCGTCTATGAGATTGTTCAACAAATCGTGTACGAAATGCATTCTCGAAATTATGGGGATCACTTTTCTCATTCATTTTCTAACGTTACACCGTAGCATGTGCTAGTGTCATTAATCGTTTCTGTCTCTCTCTCTCTCTCTCTGTGTGTGTTTCTTTTTCTGCTTCTCTTTTGCTATCAACAGTGGTATATGATAGCCATTGTTTATATATACAATCGATGGACTAAAAGTGAAATAAAGTGCCTCGTTAATGGTCAATTAGCATCAAGTACGGAAATGGCGTGGTTCGTTTCGGCTAATGATGTAAGTATGATTATGCAATAAAATGATTCATTTCACATTCAACATCAAATAAACGAGTGCGTAATTACTGACGTAAAACTTGAGATTTAAACTACAAAGCAACAGACAATTGCGCCTTTCATATTATTAAAACCGCGCCTTTTTCTCTCATAACTTTCCTGCTTTGCACTTGATGAATAGCTCAACTGTTCTCTCGCCTTGAATATGTTAGTGTGTTCGGTAGCACTTACTATGGTGCACATTATGATCATTCAACTATAAACTTCAGGAGAATTCAGTTAGCCATCAAAAGGAATAGGATCTCTTTGCATTTTTACATCTGGATATTCAATTATATAGAAAGGATAAATGTAGATGAGCTTTTATTTTTATCAAAAGGAGTTGTTCCATTTTCAATATAATCATCAGTTTACTGTACTGAAACGACGCATAGTATCTTGACGTTGAATGTCAACTGCTTTTATGACTTCCGATACTGGAAGGACTATGGCTTGTGAAAAGAACAATTTACTTTAACTCTGTGCTTTTCATCATCAAAACAGGATTTTAAGTAAAGAGAATTGGTTGACTAATGTTAATAGTTTTTCTTCGTTATGAAATACAATCTTTTCCAATTATTAACATAAAACGTTGACAGGTTGTCATTTTTTTGCAACTCAAGTGATGTGATTCATAGATGGGAATAATTGAATATTTGTACTGACCATATAAATGTTGATAATTTTCAGCCATTTGATAAATGTTATATTGGTGCAACACCTGAATTGGATGAGGAACGTGTATTCTGCGGTCAAATGGCAGCAATTTATTTATTTAGCGAAGCGTTAACAACACAACAAATTTGCGCAATGCATCGACTAGGTCCCGGTTACAAGGTAATTAAAATATAAATACGCAATCAAACCGAGTTGCGTAGACGTACTGTTTTTTGACAATTCTTATCACAATTCAGCAACGCAAATATAATATTGGCGACGTTGGTGTTTTTTTTCATCATTGTAAAATTCTGTTTACAAAAATCAATTTGATAACGGCAATTAAATTCCATTTGAAAAGGATTTAATTGAATGCAATACATTTATTTCATATGAAAAAAACACAAATGACCAATCAATTTATAATTTGTAATTTAAACAACCAAAAAAAATTGTGTTTTTTTCCTCTTTTCTTTTTCTGTTGAAACGCACACACGAACATCTCATTATTTGCGCTGCACCAAACGAACTTATAAACAAATCAATGCAATAAAAAAAATAATATTCATATTTTCAACCAACCGAATAAAAATCAAAATATTGATGCACATCACAAAAAAAAAACTGAACAAATGAATAATAAAATCAAATATAAAAAAACACAATACAATAAAATGAACGTCATCAAAATTGACTATAAATACAAATTCGCACGCACAACGCACCAATAAAAATCGACACATAATGATGACGTTAACTGAACATTTAATAAAAAAAAAAATACCGCTAATAATACCCAAATACGCTAGTCCCAATTTCGATTCGACAACGAGTGCTACCTTAATTTACCGGACAATCATAAAAGGGTGAGTGTTGCAACAGCTTCTAGCGCTGAACCATTACCTTCAACCGCTTCATGTTCGACGTCTATAACTGGTGAGGTGATCGATAGTAGCACCGATTTATCATCGATTGCCGCACTTAATGCATTTTTGCCGAACATAGCTGCTATACCATTAACGGAGGCCAGTGTGGCACCTACTGCTACTACACCTAGTAGCCTTAATGCCAATAATTCTGCTATTGATGAACATTGTTTTGCATCCGTAAGCATGCTTTTTTTGTTTTTTTTTCTTTAATTTATGATTCTTTTCAGTTTATATTCTATTTTCGATCCATTCATTAATGCAATGTATTTTATTAATTTCGATTTGGCTTTTGTTTGAGTATTATTATTTTCGAATCGTATTTTACCTTAATTTTTATTGATTTGTTGTGCATTTTATTTGCATAATTCTCTCATTTATACCGATTGTATTATTACGTAGTAATCTTTTTGAAAATATTGTAGTATTGATTGCTGCTTTGATTCCCAAAAGTGTAGAGTTATTTCCTGAAAAGAGATTCATATTTGTTGCATCCTCTTACAGATTTTATAGAATGTTGTTAAAAAAATTGTTCTCTTCTTTAAAGTAAGAATTGCAATAAATCTTTAGTTGATTGATTTTATTTAGTTGAAGTTCGGTGATTCACGATAATTGCTTTCCGCATGAAGGGTAACATATGAAATATTTATTTTTAAGCGTATACGGGTAGAAAAGATGCATATTGCATTTTGTTCACATTGATAAATGATCGGTTCATTCTTTGGAGGAACGACGAAATGATTTAAATCGATCGAAAAAATGTAATTTTCTAGACCATTACACCACCAAAGGTATTCCCTGTTATGTACATATCAAAGCTTTGTATTTTCAGTACAAAACCTATACGAATCATAATTGGTATTTCTCATTCATGTACTAATAAATAGTATTTTTATCATAAAAATTATTTATTTCAAAACTTTACAATATTTCTGTTTGAAAGCATAAACCATGCGACATGACACTTCGTTTTTAACTCATTCAAAGTTTTTTTCCTTTATATTTTCGTAGTATCGTTGGTAAAAAACCATAGTATTATGATATTTCGAATAAATTTTAATTAATTGAATTGCATGTTACTGGGAATAATTTTTCCAATATTTTTTTTTGCACGTTTACACTTTTCACAAATGTTAAGTACATAGGTATCTTTGTGACCGATATTGAGGTATAAAAAAGGTTTTAATGTTCAAAAATATCAAAATAGGCTGAAAAAATGGCATAAAAACGTCGAAATTGATAGAATAAATTGATTTGCAGCATAATTGAAGCCGAAAATAAAATATGACATTTTAATATGCATCAAGTGCTTCGTCAGATGATTTCATTATCTTTTTTCTTTGTTTTTTTTTTGTGTCACTTTGTTTACGCTTACGTTGATGATGGTTAATACAAAAAATGTTCAGGTTCTTTATGACGGAAAGCTATCAAGCGCAATTGTATTTATGTACAATCCAGTAGCAACCGATGGCCAACTGTGTTTGCAGTCTGCTCCAAAAGGAAACGTTTCATATTTCGTGCATACGCCACATGCTTTGATGTTACAGGTAAGGTGTTTTGATTGATTGCTATTTTTTTAAGAAAACAAAAACTACCCTTGTTTGTCTTCTGCTCGAGATGGTTGCGTTCAGTCTTTAGCATTTTTTAGTCCGCCTTGTTTTTCACAGCGTATCTTCACTTAAATGTTCAAATTATAACTGAAAATGGTATCAGATTGCTGTACTTATGGGGCGCGTGATGATGACAAAAAAAAAAATGTGGAAGCACAATGGAGCGAAATACTCGTTTTTCATGTGTGCGTACACAATGTGGAGGTGTCAACCTTTGGTCGCTGTTCATAATGACAAAGTGTTTGATGTTGAATTACGTTTAATTAATTACGATCATTTATTATCGTCACGCACACACACACACATCCAAGAAAATGAGAAATGAGACAAAGTACCATTTTTATTCCAACACGTTTAGCACGTTGTTTAGATCTTGTTACACATGAATGGCAGAGTATTGGATGGACATTTTTCTATGGTATTGCGTTTACTTTGACAAGGAGTCAATATACAACATGTCCATCTGTGACACATTTTCTTCTGTTTTATTACACGTGCACGCTTGTTTTGGAGAGATGAGCATTCAGCATGGTACATAGTACTACTACTACTAACATTCAACGAACGATTATTATCTAAAGCAACGTAATCAATTTAAAATTGTTTTGTAAATGATTGCTTTCGAATTAGTCGAATTAAATCTGTTCAAAAACCGGTGCGATTTGTTCAAAACAGGATGTTTTAATGACGTTATTTTCATGGTTCCAGTCGAATGCTTTCAAATAGCCGATCTGGATGTTCCTCTCTATAATACCTATTTTCTCTGGCATACCAAAATTTAATCAGTAACAAAAATTCCTCAAATTCGGCAAATAAATTGATTTGAATAGAATCACAAGTTTCTCGAAATGAAAAATGTCCAAAAAATATCGAACGGAATATTTCAATAATTATTTCCGTGAACAATGAAAGTGTATCGGAGTCGATTTCAAATCTCTTCCAATCCAATCGAAATAAGTGAAATTGATTTTTCCAACGATAGTCTCATTTACTAGTATTACGTGCACATTTACATCATTCGATATGGTCGATAAACGTATTTACCCCAAATCCAACAATTCTATGTGTCCGTTAAACACATTTGACTTTACTATTTCAACATTTTATTTTATATATTTATTCGATTCGATGTGGACTCTTTTCTCTTGCGTTTATTTGTGTGTTGTGCTGGTGCTTGGACCATTGTTTGCCTTCAAACAGCTCGAAATTGTTCGATTTTTCTTATGTACCCACACCATAATGGGCCATGTGAACGAAGAGATATTTCATCTCCGTTTTTTCTTTCTATTTTACAGGACGTTAAGGCTATCGTAACACATTCAATTCATAGTACTTTAAATTCTATCGGGGGGATACAAGTCCTTTTTCCATTATTTTCACAACTGGATATGCCATACGATGGTTGTAGTGATATAAAACGAGATCCAGCATTATGGTAAATTGATATATAAAGCCAAAATAATTCTTTGTAATGGGATTTTCGCTTCAACTGATCCATTTATGTTTTTTATTTGTTTCAATGCCTTTTCTCATCATGGCTACACGCATATCTTTTGTCTTCATTTGATTGCGGCCACTGTATACGTCACACGGATATTATCATACCTGCATTATCTACCCTTGTTCTATCTCACGCTCTCTCTGTTGCCGTGCGATCCGTTTGCAACGATTCCAGCTCCAAATTACTAGGCTTTATATGTGAGTTAGTTGAAAGTTCACAAACCGTGCAGCAGCACATGATACAGGTAAATTATTTACAATAAAAAAATAAAAAGCGAAACAAATCAAATTGATTTGATTTGATATATATATTTGTGTTTGTATGTTTTGTTTCTTTCTTTATCATAATAGAATCGTGGATTCCTTGTTATATCGTTCATGTTACAAAGATCATCGCGTGAACACTTGACACTCGATGTACTTAGCTCGTTCTTAAGTTTAACAAAATATCTGGTGACCTGTCTGTCGGCGAACAGCGATTTGTTGCTAAAACAAGTAAGTAAACAATGTTGAATCAACAACAAATTTTAATTCGAAAACGAAAGAATCAAATGGGAGGGCAGTGAAATGGAAACATTGACATCCTCATTCAAGAATTGTTCACAAATTATTATTGAAATCATTGTGAAATTCACGCGTCGCGTGGAAATACAATATCAATTGTGTTTTGTACGTTGTTAATGGTATCTCTCACAACACCATTTCCCTAATCGTTTTATTCCGCTTTTTCAATTCGATGAAAGCATTGTTCAGACAATTGAAATTTGTTGATGTTGCTTTTAATTCGAAATGCGTCAATAAACAAGAACAAATACACCATGGATTTTTTTATGTTTACAATCTGCACGACTGTGAGTGCTACGAATTTTGATGCTCACGAGAGCCACATTGAATTTTACTTCGATTCCCATCACAATCAAATTGGCAAAAGTCTTTCACTTTTGAACAAGACGTACAGTGTTTTTATCAGCCTAACAATGGAATCCACGTTTCACGCTTTTCTCATGTGCCATTCCATTTTATAAATTTTATTTACCAAACACACAAAAGCGACCCGAATAGCGAATAGAACCAATCACAAAAACTTCCACGCGGACAATATTCAAATAAAACGTGGTGGCACATTTTCTTCACCATTTACTTTTTATGGAGTTAATCTCTTCACACAGTCGTTTGCAATACTTCTAACACATTTATTGAATCGACTGGATTTCAAAAGGAGCAAAATACTACATGAGAATTTATTTCAAAACTTTGTTTACATTTCGCTTTACTGTCACATGAATGTAGCAAAACAGTGTTTTTTGTGACACACAGTTACATAAGATGTCATAATCTAATCCCTAGCAACAATATTCGGGTTAAAGAGTTTCCATCTGATGCGAGAACAATATATTGCAGTTAACGACACACACACACACACACACATTTCAATTCATTTTCTTGCCTCATGTGTTACAATTCCACTGCGAATCTATTTATCTGCATCATTTTTCGTCGAGAATTATTTATGAGAATTTAAAACAAAATTCAATTTTGTCAATGCCCATTTGCAACCCATGAAAAGTTTTCGACGCGCAAATGAGCTACATATGCAAAATACAAAAAAATGAGAATGAAGTTTAGATAGAGGTACATTTATACATGTTCCATGTGTTACATTCGTCTCGACGTGTTAATATTTCCGTTTGTTTCTGTTTGGTGTTGAGTTTATGGTTGTTTTCAAATCTATCTTATATCTTATATATTTCTCTTCTATCTTTTATCTCTATTTATCTATATATATATTATTGAAATGTTATTTGTTCCTTTTCGAAACATTATGTGCACGAATATATTTGGTAATGGAAATTATGTTGGCAGTTAGTTTTTTTATTCTTTCTGTTATTTTCGATGGAAAAATATGAAAACGAGCAATTTTTCATATCAAGTGTATAGTTTTTTAATCATAAAATTCGATTTTAAAACAAATTCATATGTACAAATACACTTGATGGTGTTTTTTTTAAACTTTTTTTTTTCTATTAATACTTACAAAAAGCGAAATTTGTTCAAAATTCCCGTTTAGTTGTTCAATTGGCATGATTGTGGTGTTTCTTTAATGATTATATATTAGTTTAGAAGAAAAGAATTTAATTATTTTGAATATTTTGACCCGACGTTTTTTGTGTTTTGCTGCTATTGCGATTGCATGGTTGTCAATTTTTTTGCGACACCAACAACTAAATATACATACGTTAAATAATAATTGGCTGTTCTTTGTTCATTTTATGAAATGCTATAGCAGATGCTACCGTTTTTTTATATTTTCATTAAAAAATCAGGAAATAATTATAATTTCCAATCAATTTTCGTTCTTATATTCTTTTATATCATTCGGAATGACGTAAAATTGGAGCGATTATTTATAATTTCGTCGTTGTTTCAGTTCAATTCATTCTTGCGTTAAAAGGTCTTTGGTTAAATTTCGTACTCTCGGCACTATTCACCTGGTTTCAAGTTTCAATTTTCAATTTAATGATATTATGTTTTAACAATAATTTTTGTTGTCTTTACACTTTTCCTGATTCTTGAGTTTCGTTTTCTCTCATGGTCCGAGGGAGGAACGAGTGCTTCCTTCGTGACTAAATTATATTAATTTTCTCATGAGTTGGCTTGGATTGGGATTTTTGAGAATGACGGAAAAATCCAAAGTTTATCGTTTTGCTTGGTTGTTGTTCTTGCTGCATGCCTTTTAAACGATGGCTTGTAGCAGAACAGTATATACACGTCTAAGAGTAGCTTTTCTGTTTTTCATTTTTAACGTGGCAGCTGCTGGATCATGTGCTCTTTAATCCATCGCTGTGGATCTATACACCGGCAAATGTACAAGCACGTCTCTATTCGTATTTGGCCACCGAATTTTTGAGCGACACCCAAATCTACAGCAATGTGCGTCGCGTCAGTACTGTTCTTCAAACCGTTCACACGCTTAAATTTTACTATTGGGTTGTGAACCCACGAGCAAAAAGCGGAATCGTACCAAAAGGATTAGGTAAATTGTTTTTTCTTTCTTACAGACAGAGAATGAGTGAAGTTTTGAAAGTGCAAAATTGAAATGTTTTGTCTGTCTTTTATTATGCAGATGGTCCACGTCCAGCACAAAAAGATATCCTCACTATTCGAGCGTACATTTTGCTATTTCTGAAGCAACTCATTATGATTGGCAATGGTGTGAAAGAGGATGAGTTGCAGAGCATTTTAAATTATTTAACCACAATGCACGAAGACGAAAACTTACACGATGTACTTCAAATGTTGATATCTTTGATGTCGGAGCATCCGAGCTCAATGGTACCGGCCTTCGATGTTAAACAAGGTGTTCGAAGCATATTCAAATTGCTGGGAGCCGAAAGTCAATTAATCCGATTGCAAGCGCTAAAACTATTGGGATTCTTCTTGTCACGTAGCACACACAAGTAAGTGATTCAGAGCTTTTGTTTTTGTTATTGTTGCCATAGTGTCAATCTTACTAAAGGGTCTATCTTACTCTACAAAACCACAATTATATGATTAATTATAAAGAGCGAAGAGCTATCATTCACTTTAATTAAGTACATACTTTCCGCATTTATCAAATTAACTTCCTTTCCTCTGCTTTTATCAATCTCTGCGCCCATCTTTTGAATTGAAATTGTGCGGTGGCGGCAATAGAAGAAAATATGATGTAATGTCACCGCATAATTTGTACACACTACTGGCTGAACGATTGCTACTCTACGAAGAATCACTGTCGTTGCCCACATATAATGTCATTTATGAAATCATGACGGAGCACATCTCGCAGCAAGTTTTATACACAAGACATCCAGAGCCAGAAAGCCATTTCCGTCTCGAAAACCCAAGTAAGGACGTTTCACTATTATTTATATAGTCTATTTTGTGTTTTGTAACGCCGGTACGTTGGTTAAACTTACTGTTCGAACTCTCATAGCACATACACACCATCAGAGAGAGACACGAACAACTCTCAAGGAAATTTAATTAATTTAATTTTTCTATCGTCAACAGTGATCCTGAAAGTAGTCGCCACACTTATTCGACAATCAAAACAAACCGAGCAGTTGCTTGAAGTGAAAAAACTATTCTTATCCGATATGACGTTGCTATGCAATAACAATCGTGAAAATCGACGTACCGTACTGCAAATGTCTGTGTGGCAAGAATGGCTTATTGCCATGGCTTACATTCACCCCAAGAATAGTGAAGAACAAAAAATATCCGATATGGTTTACTCTTTATTCAGGTAAGTTGATGGAGACTCTATTTGAAAAATCCATTTCTTTTAATTAAACTGAAAAAAGCTTCAGTTATGAGTCTACGGCTCATTCACTCTTTGTGAAACTAATATGCAATGTCCTGAATGTTATTTTTTTCTCTCATAAATGTTTTACCGTTTAGTTTATGTAATTGTCACTACTTTTGAAAATGGTTAGTCCCATACTAATGAATGTTTTATGTTTCTGTTTTTATCCAAAATGACCGATTCAACACACATCGTAATCATTTTAACGTGTGCACATTTACAAAATGAAGGATGCTTTTACATCACGCAATCAAACACGAATATGGTGGCTGGAGAGTGTGGGTCGACACACTAGCAATCGTTCATTCAAAGGTGAGTACATTTTTTTTTATTTTTTAATGATTTTAATTTGTCTCAAATTCAGACGCATACTTTTCAAATGAACAAAGAATCTTGAGCAAAATAGAAATGTAGAAAAAAGTTTGACTTCAAAGCATTGTGAAGGTCATATTTCAAAAATATTTCTGTCGAATATGCCATTATGCGTAATGAGAACCTTCATTTAAATACGCATTGTATTTGGGTCTGTGAAATAATAATATCTTTCATTATCGTCTTCAAATAACGTCTCTAAATGTTCTTTTTTTATTGTGTACTTTTTTCTTTTTTTCCCTGAATAGGTTTCGTATGAAGAATTCAAGCTTCAATTTGCTCAAATGTATGAGCATTATGAGAGACATAGAACCGACAATATAACCGACCCAGCACTAAGACGAGCACATCCAATAAGTACGATAAGCGGTTGGGATCGTGATCATGACCAATCAACTGAGAATTCAACGAAAAATGGTCAAGTATCAAACGATAAAGCAATTACCAACCCACTAGCAAATGAATCACAATCGGAACAACCGTATAAAGTTAGTAAAAGCGAACAAACTGATGATGTTGATGTGGTTGGTTTGGAGAATGTAAAGTGTGTGTGTGAGGAGAGTTCGAATCAAGATGAAATGAATCTATCGAATAGCACAGACACAGCCAAAGAGCCATCAGCTCAAATTTTTAATTCCAATGAATCAAATAAGCCAATGCAATCAATTTCAAGTATTTCACAAGTGTATAATGAACAGTTAACGGGACAATCGATTGTTTGTAATGGTGATTCGGAGCACGCATTTGGTGATGATGATGATGATGACACTACGAATACATCAACCAAACAAGTTAATGCGAATGGTGATGGTAGCACATCCGACTTAAATGCACTACGCAAAACACTTGAAATCGATAGCTACGATATGAACGAAGCGAATTCAAAAGAAATTGTCGACGAAATTGTTGAGGAGATATTGACGAAAAGCGAACATTTACTGGATGATTGCAAGCGGTCATTGGATGAAAACCATCAACATTTGGACGAAACGGAAAGCACATCATCGCCAGTTATAAAAGATGAAGAAATCGAGCATGCTGTTAGTGAGGTGGTGAAAGGTGTACGAAATATTGAACGAAAAGTGAAACGTGATAGTGAAAATGATACGGATTCACCGAATACCGAAACGGATGCGAAAGTAAATCAAACCGAACAGCAAAATGTCGAACACTTAACTATATCACCGAGCAGTGAATCATTTGAGCTACAAAATGAAAATCAAAAGACTGAACTAGCGGTATCGAATGCAGCAATAGGTGAAACCAATAATATTTTGAATGATGACATTGAAGACAATGCAAATATTCCGATTGAAAAAACGACGTCTACAAATACAGAAACCGATGAAATAAAAGACATCGTCACGACTATTGTGAACGATGTGATTGAAAATTGCGTAAATCAAACCGTCACAGACAATGTTGGCGCATGTGATAATGATGTGAATATGTCCATAATTGATAACATCAACAATAATAGTTCCGAAGTAACCACAAACGATAACAATGATAATGCGATAATTGTCGATGACACAATTACTCAAACTACCGAAATTGTGAGCACACTGAATGCACCAACAAATGAAGCGATGACCGAAGAAACAAACGAAGAGATAATCAAAGGTATTGTCAACGAAATTGTCGATAAATGTGTTGAGAGCGAGAGCGAAGCCATTATCGATAATGATGATAACAATAATGAGGAAGATATTACACCGAATAAAGCAGCGAATGAGACAATCATCTCAGATGCTGCAAGTGAATCATCAAATGGCGAGCAGATAAATAGTGCCAAATTTACACCGGCAACCACAACCGAAAAGCCAGACAATAGCGATGACAACACCGCCCAAACGAACGACAATCGAAACAACAAACCAAATCGATCACAAGGCACATCGATTAGCACAAGTACACAAGTTGAAAACAATCATTTCGGTAAGTTGTTAACAATCAATCCTTTTCGGTAATTTAGCATGCACCATTTAATTTCGATTTTATTCTTTTCACTTACCATTACATTTATCCTTTTGATTGCAATTTAATACAGACCAAAGACAAAACCGCTCCAAATCAACTTCCAATCGACCAATGTTCAGCCCGGGACCATCACGCCCACCATTCAGAATTCCAGAATTCAAGTGGTCGTACATCCATCAACGACTTTTGTCAGACGTACTATTTTCACTTGAAACTGATATACAAGTATGTACTGCAGTTCACACAAGAGACTTGTTTTTCCACTGTGTTGATGTTTGTTAAACTAAAAAAAAACTTCCATTTAGGTTTGGAGAAGTCATTCAACAAAAACTGTCTTGGACTTTGTTAACTCAAGTGAAAATGCAATCTTTGTCGTCAACACTGTACATCTAATATCACAGTTGGCTGATAATTTAATAATTGCTTGCGGTGGTCTATTGCCATTGCTGGCCAGTGCAACTTCGCCCAACGTAAGCGAAAAGAAAATTATTACATTAATTTTGCGTTTAAATAAATGAAATATCAATTAAATAAATCTTTGCAGTCTGAACTAGATGTGTTGGAACCAACGCAAGGCATGCCATTGGAAGTGGCTGTTTCATTTTTACAACGTTTGGTTAACATGGCTGACGTGTTGATTTTTGCTAGCTCATTGAATTTCAGTGAACTGGAAGCCGAAAAAAATATGTCAAGTGGTGGCATATTGCGACAATGTCTACGATTGGTGTGCACATGTGCCGTGCGAAATTGTCTTGAATGTAAAGAACGAACACGATATTCGAACGGCGGTTTGCCGCGTGATGTTCCTGGTGCTGCTCATTTGCAAGCTCTGATTCGAGGGGCCCAAGCATCTCCAAAGGTAATTTTTTTTACTTTTCTTGAACCCTCAACCGGGCAGGTGAAAACAATGAACAGGTGGGGTCTCTGAGGCCCGGCATACTATTTCCATACAAAATCAATAGTTTTACAATAAGATTTTATGTATTTTATTTTTAAGACAGTTGGTATAGTCAGTAATATAAAAAAAACAATCTCTAATCTACAGAATATTGTTGAATCAATCACTGGTCCTCTCAGTCCGGTCAAAGATGTAGAGAAACTATTACAAGATATGGATGTGAATCGGCTTCGTGCTGTTGTTTATCGGGATGTGGTGAGTAAACGAAATTGAACCCAAGAGACACCGCGAACTCCACATCATTCCATTTCCACACTCATGATCACAGCACATCATTCCATTTGCAAAATTCGCAAGAAAATTCGATTAATTCCCAAAAAATGGAAATAAAATTAAAAAAAAAAAAACAGAGACTGTTCTCAGAGCCATGTATTGCTTGCTCTGAGAAACAGTCTCTGAAAAAACAAACATAAAAATGTATAAGTATTGATCCTTGAATCAAAACACTGACAACTGGAAATTTAAGAAATCATTTCAAAAATGGAACTTGTTCAAGCATTCACGGTGTAAATTGAATATTGTTGTTGTGTATATGTTCTTTTATTATAAGAAACGAATGTTCCAGGATGAGACGAAGCAAGCACAATTCTTGTCGCTGGCCATAGTCTATTTCATATCAGTATTGATGGTGTCTAAATATCGTGATATACTGGAACCACCTGCAGAGCCATCAGTGCGGGCATCACCTGTGGCACAACGCATCCCACAAAATCAAGGTAATATACTCCCATTTCATTTTGTCATTGTATTTCGCTATTTTTCATTTAAAAAAACACACTCTATGTTGTCATTAAAAGTACAAAACTTTTTGTAATTGGCTTCATGGTATAATATAAATATAATCCTCATGTTATCTGTATCGCTCAATGTATATTCATTGCCCTTTCTCTCGTTATTTTTTTTCTTTTTTTACACGCTGCTTGAATTGGACTAATAACAAAATTGCTCGTTGAAAAACTAACTGTATTTATATAAATTAATCAAACAATTGCAATTTCAATGTATCTCCCCCCAATACGTATAACCAATTCTACTAATAACAATCATCATAACAAACAAAAAAACTTTTTGCTTTCGACCAATACAAAATGACGATTTTTTAAAATCGTTTTAATAAAAAAACGTACCAAATGTATAGAAACATCAGCAAGGCCATTGTTTCCGCAATGGTCACATCATGTGTATCCACAATTTTTACCAGGTTCACATCCAAACTATCAAAATTCAACGAATATGCATCATAATCACAGTAATAATCTAAATATGCCACGTATTTCGTCGCCCTCTACTCCAACAACAACACCAACGTCTACAACAAATCTGTCACAAACTGTTCTCAATTCCTCAAAAGCACAACCTAATCATCATTTGCATAATCACTACCATTATCCGTTGCATCTTCAGAATAATAGCCATCATCAGCAACAGCAGCAGCAGCAAATCCATCGCAACCATACACACATGAATGGTGCGACATCATCTCATATTCGAAATCGCAATCACAATAATAATGCGTCACATAAAAACATTATACTCAATAATAACGATTATCAATTTAGGACCGATTCAGGTATTTGTGCGTTGCTTGGACGTCGTCGATTTGCTTTTTGTCATCTCTCATTCATTTTTGTTTACTGGCAATAGCACTTTTTTCGATGCTTTCTCTGATATTTCCTATATCTCCCACTATCTTACTCTCGCTCTCTCTCTCTCTCAACCATTCTCTATCTCTGTATAACTAACATTGCTGTTATTATGCCAAACATTTTTTCAAAATTCTGTGTACAATTACTATGTATTAGATAAATTCCATTATCGATAATAGCTTGGTGTGTGTATGCCCCTATTTAAAATTAAATGTTGTAAATCTTATCGAAATTGAATGCACTCCAAATGATTAAAATATATGCCACAAATTCGAATAGCTTATGAAATTTTACATTTTGTTTTCAAATTTTTGAACCTTCCATTGGAAACAATCAAATATTCTATTTACTATTATATCCGGCCATTTGTATTCTTATAAAAAAAGTTATCTGTTTGAAAATTGGTCCAAATCCGAAAATTGACTTGAAGCTAAAAAAAAATATCGCACATGTATAATTTATTTGGAGATGACAATCAAAATTTAGTAAACATTGAATGTATCTGAGTATTTTTGTAGAACATTCACTTCTCATAACTTTTTTTAGATTAGTTGAAATTCATTTCCTTGAAAATGTTGCAAACGATTGGTATTCGTTCGAAACAATTTGATTTATTGGCGCCAAAAAGGTTAATGAAAAATGATATTGAAAAGTGCTTTTCAAGGGATATGAATAAATCATTTATCACTTAGTAACTCCTATCTTTTGTTGAATGTGACAGTCGACAAAGTAAATATGAATATTTTTGAATTGGAACGTTGGCATTGGAATGGATTGAGAGGCGTATTCAAGAATTAAAACAAAAAAAAAACAAGATCTTTTAAATTCGTTTTATTATGCTAATTACTTTGAAATCATTTATCCTTTCATCATAAACAGGGCAACGAAATATCCAAGACGGCGACTACGAAGTAATTGTCGTCGATGAAAATAATTCATCAGTTTTAGCTGACGATTCACATTCAAGTGGACCACCGTCAATCAAGGTATGTATCATATTTTTTTAGTTTTGTTCTGGATTATGTTTCCTTCGTTAAAACATTTATTTTTGTGGGAATGGATTCAATAATATTATATCATAGTATGTATAACAATGTGCATGTTCATTTTAATCATCTTTTCGATAATAAGGTACCGTTTCATTCAAACCTTCTTCAGCTTTAATTCACACCAAAATACAAGATGTGAAGAGAATTGTGCATGTGCTTGAAATATGTATTTGTATTAGATATTTCATATATTTTATTAATGGTTAAATTAATTACTAAATCGCCTCAAACCGAATATTCTTTGATATGAAAATAAAAGGCAAATTTTATTCATAGGATTTCCAATCAACTTTTTATCTCTATAATGGTGAAGGTATAATTGCATGATGACCTGTCTGGTTCAGATTACACTTTATTTTCACATGGTGTTCACAAAATGGGACAAATAAAATATTGGATCAACAAGTTATGCAACTTTGTAAAATTTCAAACATAAAATAGTACTCTTTAACCCGAATCACGATCCAATTCATTAAACATTTTCCGAAAACATTATTAAATATCATTTAATTTATTGTTGCCACATATTTTAAATTGCTCTTTGACAGAAAGCACTGTCATTAATTATATTTTTGTATTATTATATGAATATATTTGTTGCGAGACAAACGCACACACACAAAGTATCATCATCATTCAAATGAAGCGACCTCTAAGAGAGGGAGATAATGTGCGACTGCCATTGTACAATGTAATGTTAATCTCGTTGACAGTTTATACGAATAAATTATTATTTGTTCGTATCCACAAGAGAAAATTGTTTGTACAAAATGTTCGTTGCTCAGTTATGTGTAAATTTCATATGAAAACCCACTCCCAATTACAAATTTTGTAACTAATGACAAAATACCACATGTCCTCACATTGTCCATTGTTACGTTGTCTATCATATGTTTTGTTGTGTATGACAAAGGAATAAAAATCCACATTTTAAGTGTATAAATAAAGATTTTTTTGATAATATTGAAATAATGATAATTAATTGAAAACAATAAACATCACAATTGAAGCAGCCACCAACAATATCAAAACAAGTGTCATCTCCAACACTTTTTGTACCCGTATCAACAAATATTCAACCACTATCGCCACCAAAACCGTTCCCAATCGCGCCTTTGCCAGTGAATACAATCAAAACGATAGAGAAAAAGGTAAATGGCTTCACTTAACAAACAACAATCCACAACAACAACAACTACAAAAATCAGCTATACGAGTATCACAAATCATATCCAATTTTATCACGTTTTTTGTCAAATACGTTTGAGTATTTATATTTATGCGTTTTTCCCGCAACACATAGTGATTCATTTTTGATTGGCACCCACATTCCAAATAAATCGTTTTGCAATTAAAGATATGCCGACAAAAATTCATTTTATTTAATTTATATGCACTCGAATATATTAGTTGATGCTCATTTGCAGTAAAGAACAAGAAAGAAACACGCGAGCTGATGACGAAGTAACATAGATTTTAATTTTGATACTAATATAACACAAATAGTTAACTTATTTGCACGAACCTCTAAGATTTCAGTAACCGAATTAATGCATGAAAGGCCATTTTAAAAATGTCAATTTTTTCAATTTTAATTTTTAAATCAATAAAATTAATAATAATTATAATTCATATTTGCTTGGTAATGAATGAATCGACCAATTCAATAGAAATAATTGACCCATTATGGTTTTTCAGTTTGCAGATATTTTAATATTTTTATTTTGCGGGATTAAATTGCTTGATATTTATTTTGAATGCATGATACTAGAGCACGCAATGTTAAAATACATTTATTCGTAGTTTAATAGAATATTTAAATATATGATGATTATCGAATTTCACGAGATAGTTATGACTTTATCGTATTAAATTTAAATCTTCTGCATGTATATGTTACTAGCACTGATTTTCATAAATTTATACGGTGTATATGGTATTAATGCTTTTACCTTATGAATATAGAGTGTTGATTCGGATGGTGCTTCCCTTAACATGAATTCAACTGAAAATGACGTACATGAAACATCTAGCGAAATAATGAATGATGACAACAAACCAACGAATTCAAACGATGAAAGCTGGACAGATGTTAATTTAAATGAAGATGGAAGCGATAGAATTCGTGATATTGAAGGAAATATCCATCATTTACGTAAGTTTTTCATTATTAAATTTAATATACTTTGATAACAATTGTTTTTTTTTTCACCATTTCTCCATAAAAAAAAAATACAGAACGAGGTGAAAAGCCCGATTCGGAAATATCAGTTGTACGTGTTCCTGACAATTATACAATGAACGCCAGTCGTTCCCATCGTCCTGAGGATATGCAAATGAAACCACCGCTTATGGGCCAATTGCCATTGTCAACGCCATCCAGAGAAGCAAGTCTAACGCAAAAGCTAGAAGTGGCATTGGGACCGGTGTGTCCATTATTGCGTGAAATAATGGTTGACTTTGCGCCATTTTTATCGAAAACTTTGGTCGGATCGCATGGTCAAGAGCTGTTGCTGGAAGGAAAAGGACTGACAACATTCAAAAATAGTCAATCGGTGGTTGAGCTTGTAATGTTGCTGTGCTCACAAGAGTGGCAAAACAGTTTGCAGAAACATGCTGGTTTAGCATTTATCGAACTGATAAACGAAGGGCGATTGTTATCGCATGCAATGAAAGACCACATTGTACGTGTTGCAAATGAAGCTGAATTCATATTGAATCGTATGCGTGCCGATGATGTGTTGAAACATGCTGAATTTGAAGCACAGTGCGCGCAAACACTATTGGAACGTCGTGAAGAGGAGCGAATGTGTGACCATTTAATTACCGCTGCCCGTCGACGTGATAATGTGATTGCAAGTCGACTATTAGAAAAAGTTCGTAATATTATGTGCAACAAACATGGTGCATGGGGTGAAACAAGCGGAACCGTATCGAAACAAATATTTTGGAAGCTTGACGCATGGGAAGACGATGCACGTCGTCGAAAACGAATGGTACAAAACCCAAGAGGTTCAACGCATCCACAGGCCGCACTCAAAGCGGCACTTGAAAATGGTGCACCCGATGATGCTATATCACAGGCACGCGAAGAATTCCATTCCCAAATTGCAAACACGCGATCTCAACATGGAACAGCTCATAGTGGTGATTTGCTTGATGACGCCGAGCTGCTCATCGAAGACCGTGAACTGGATTTAGATTTAACCGGTCCCGTGAATATAAGCACAAAGGCCAAACTAATTGCACCAGGTTTAGTGGCTCGCGGTACTGTTTCGATAACAAGCACTGAAATGTATTTCGAAGTCGACGAAGACTGTGAAGAATTTCAAAAAATTGATCCAGACGTTATTAAATATTGTGATCATTTACACGGAAAATGGTACTTCTCCGAAGTACGTGCTGTATTTTCCCGCCGATACTTGCTACAAAATATTGCATTGGAAATATTTTTAGCATCACGCACATCGATACTATTTGCCTTCCCCGATCAACATACTGTGAAAAAAGTGATCAAAGCATTGCCGCGTGTTGGCGTTGGCATCAAATATGGAATACCACAAACACGGCGCGCATCAATGATGTCACCTAGACAACTAATGCGAAACTCGAATATGACACAAAAATGGCAACGACGCGAAATTTCCAATTTCGAATATTTAATGTTTTTGAATACAATCGCCGGTCGTACATATAACGATTTAAATCAATATCCAATATTCCCATGGGTTCTCACCAACTATGATTCGAAGGAGCTGGATCTCAGTCAACCATCTAATTATCGTGATTTGTCAAAGCCGATTGGTGCATTGAATCCCAGTCGACGCGAATATTTCGAAGAACGCTACGAGAGTTGGGAGAATGATACAATTCCACCATTTCATTATGGCACACATTATTCAACGGCTGCATTTGTTTTAAATTGGTTGATTCGTATTGAACCATTCACCACAATGTTCCTTGCACTACAAGGTGGTAAATTCGATCATCCGGATCGATTGTTCTCATCGATTTCGTTGGCATGGAAAAATTGCCAACGGGATACATCTGATGTTAAAGAATTAGTTCCTGAATGGTATTTCTTACCTGAAATGTTTTATAATTCATCGTCATACCGATTGGGTACACGTGAGGATGGTGTTACTGTTAATGATGTTGAGCTTCCACCATGGTCAAAATCGCCCGAAGAATTTGTTCGCATTAATCGAATGGCTCTCGAATCTGAATTTGTGTCATGTCAATTACATCAATGGATTGATTTAATATTCGGCTACAAACAACGCGGACCCGAAGCCGTTCGTGCCACAAATGTTTTCTACTATCTTACGTATGAAGGCAGCGTCGAATTAGATTCAATAACCGATGTTGTTATGAAAGAAGCGATTGAAAATCAAATTCGTAATTTTGGCCAAACGCCAAGTCAATTACTGATGGAACCCCATCCACCGCGAAGTTCAGCAATGCATTTATCACCGATGATGTTTAGTGCAATGCCCGACGATATTTGTATGAGCATGAAATTCCATTTGAATTCACCAATCATTCACATATCCGCCAACACTTATCCACAATTGCCTCTACCGAGTGTGGTCACTGTGACTGCTGGCCATCAATTCGCTGTTAACCGGTGGAATTGTAACTACACGGGCGCTGTACAAGGTCCAAGCTACGCTGAATCGAATCAAAATCAAAATGCAAATTTACCCCTCACCATGGATCCGGTTTTATGTAAGTGTATTAACGATGCATTTCGAAAATTTTACAATGTTACAAACTCTTGAATTTATTTCAATATTTTTAGTGCAAACAAATGGTAACAATTCGGCAGTGCGTCGACATTTGGGCGATAATTTTAGTCAAAAATTGAAAATTCGTGCAAATTGTTTCGTTACAACGGTCGATAGTCGGTTTCTAATTGCGTGCGGATTCTGGGATAATAGTTTTCGTGTTTATTTAACGGAAACAGCGAAAATTGTACAAATTGTATTTGGTCACTTTGATGTTGTCACGTGTTTATCTAGATCAGAGTGCAATATTACATCCGATTGCTATATTGCATCTGGCTCGGCCGATTGTACCGTTTTACTATGGCATTGGAATGCACGAACACAGAGTATTGTTGGTGAAGGTGAAGTACCAACGCCCAGAGCAACATTGACTGGACATGAGCAAGCTGTTACCGCTGTTGTAATCAGTGCTGAGCTGGGATTAGTTGTGTCCGGTTCAATAAGTAAGACACATACACATAGACAGCAATGCAAAATTGAATATTCAGAATTCAAATTAAACACTGGCTTTAAATGTTCATTTCACAGGCGGCCCGGTTTTGATTCATACAACTTTTGGAGATTTACTACGTTCATTGGAGCCACCAAGCGATTTCATATCACCTGAACTGATTTCAATGTCTCGTGAAGGTTTTATTGTCGTTAGCTATGATAAGGGTAATGTGGCTGCCTATACTATTAACGGAAAACGTTTGCGACACGAGTCACATAACGATAATCTACAGGTAAATGGACGAAACTACACTTTTTTCAATTGATTGCTTATTTCGCTTTGATATACGACCATTTAATGTGCTGTTTTTATTCAAGAGCAATCAATTGATAGCAATAGTTTGTTATTCAAAGACTTAATGAAACTTCATGAAAAAGTAAAAAATGGCAGAATGGTCTTTAGTTTTCTAAAAGATTTAGATTTTCGAACGTCGACTGTAATATGTTTCTTCTCTTGCAGAGTATGATACTGTCGCGCGATGGTGAATATCTAATGACGGCAGGAGACCGTGGCATTGTTGAAGTATGGCGAACATTCAACTTGGCTCCATTGTATGCATTCCCGGCTTGTAGCAGCGGTATCCGTTCATTGGCATTAACCCACGACCAAAAGTACGGCAATTTTTCGGGCTTTATTGATTCTTTTTTGTCTAAAATCACTTAACAATCTTAACTTCTGTCTTATTATAGGTACTTATTGGCTGGACTCGCAACTGGATCAATCATTGTGTTTCATATTGATTTTAACCGCTGGCATCATGAGTATCAGCAACGCTATTAAATTATTCACGAGCATACAATAAGCGCACTTAAATGTGCCCTTCTAGCAGAATTTAAAGCATTTGAATGAATTGGCGTTTACAATTTATTTTTTAATTAGTGACAAATTTTATCTAAATGACTAATTTTTCATTGAATGCTTGTTGTGTTATTGTGTCAATGAAGAAAGCCCAATTGATGATGAAGTAAAATCAAAGCCAAATATAAAAACAGAAACAAACAAAAATAACGATTTATGTAATTAGTGAAAATGAAATATGCGGCCAAAATACTTAGCGACATAGTAATTTTATGAATAGATAATTGCGAATCAACCATTTTTTACTGGCTTTGATTCGTCGATATAATTTTGATATGAATACGGCGAAAATTGTTTACAAACTTCAAAATTGTATATATGGATGAAATGAGGTTTCGTTTAAGTCTCTTTTTTCTCAAAATTGATTTCGATTTAGGCATGTGCTGTAAAACAATTTTTTTTAATTGCTTTATTCATCTCTTCGATGTAAATCAGTATAACTGTGTTTTTTTGAATTTTTCGATAGTAAATGTTATTAGTTATGTCATTGTATAACGAATCGAAGTTAAATGCAGGATTTTCAATTTGTTCACATCATGTACAACTAAAGGATTCAAGTGTATTTGGTTGTACAAAATAAATTTTTAACTCCCATGTGCTAACAAATCCATCCCCATGCAATGAAAGCCTGAAAAGCCATTTTACACGTGAAAAAAACCCTTATGAAGATCCCTTTTTGTCAAATAGAAGTATTTATTTTTTCTTGACTATGCACAAAATACGCTTAGAATGAAAACCAAAATACTTTACAAGAATCTGCAGTTTATCCTCTGCTTCACATGTGCATGAATGATGAATAAATCCGTCATTTTGTTGAATGGTTAAAAACATTTTCTAATTAAAAAAAAAAAACAAAATCGCATTAGCCGAAATATACTACTTGTGTGCAATAGTTTCGTTTTTAATTGTTTGTCCGTCGATCACACAGCTAAACGCTTGCTTCTTCAAGTTGATCGATTCACGGAAGATGCCAAGTGTTTAGCTTATTTTGTTATAAGCTGTTTATTCTGAAATGGAAAATTGTGCAATTTTCTCTCGTTTGGAAGATGAAAAGTATTTCGATTAACACGAAACGATTATTTGGCCCGCAATTTTTTTTAAACATTTTTTGAGAAGATTTGATCGATGTGATTTAATTCACGTTTTCTCTAAACAAATAAGTTATGCTTTTACGCATCCAATCCATCCTTTTTATGTCTTAAATTTATAAGTCATTATTTGCTATATTTTACATACGAAAACAGGAAAGAAGGGAATAAAAAATCGTATTAGCCGTCTATATGTATTGTATTGTGTACAACATTTTGGTTAATTATGAGATTTGATTATGAATGAATGAGAGTGAATGAGCAAAGATATCTAATCTATCGCGCATGAAATAAAAAATAAAAATGTGAAGCTGTTAACATTCCGCCATCCATTACATAACTATTCTTATTACAATTTAAAACAAGAAAAAAAAAACAAAATACAAAATATTCGCTACGCCACCAAAAGTTAGATGCATACAAATTATTAAATAGAAAAATTTAAAAAGAAAAGCAACAACAAAAAAAGATGCAATGAAACGATGAAGTATTATAAATAATAACTAACATTTTTATTCGTAAGCAAAATAAAACCATACATTTTTTGAAAAGAAGAAGTCGTTATGAAATTTAACTTATGTGAAAGAAAAACTTAAATGAAAAATAAATCTGTCCATTAATTAAATTACGAATGAAAAAGAAAATCTATTGTAAATACAAATGCATTGCGACATTTTACAAACATAAATTTAATCAGAAAATTTAAAACAAATAACAAAAAAAATAACAATGATAAGAATTTAATTTGTAAGTAAGAGAAAATTGCATGCAATGAATCAAATATTACCTCTAGAACTGATTCAAGAAATCCTGTGAATGGCTAAAGAAAACTAGGCATAGGGAAGACTTTAAACGTTCAGGAAGGATACACACATTTACGAATTTCGTTCTGTTTCAATGTGCAAGTCACGGAAGAGATTCGTTTCATAGCTTGCTAAAATCATCTTTCATCCAAACCGAACATGATTTTTTTTAGATGTAACTTAAAACACCGAGTAAAATTCAGCTCATTTTTACATAAATTTGGAATAGCAAAAAGCTAGCTTGCAAACTGAATAAAAAGAAATCACCGTAACTGATGATGAAGAATAATAAATATTGCACACAAAATAAACAAGTTTAAATACAATTTAATGTAAAGAAAAGTTCGCCTAATCGACGATATACATTAATTCTGTTATTTCTCTAGACGTTTTTTTACGATCATTGTTACCGTTTTAATAAAAAAATGGCATGATGAAATAAAATAAAATTAAAAAAATACTGAAACTTAACGTTCATAGCAAATATGCTAAATAGTTGAAGCTTTGAAAACCCATGCAGCATTTTTAAATAATTTATATTGCACGTAATTACTAAGAAGTGCACACCAATTTTGAAGAAGAACACTTTGAGCGCGATTCAATGAAATAAACTAACGAAAAACAAATGCCTACGTCAAAATAGATAAGATTTTTTCGCCCGATTTAAAATGAATCAACATAACAGAAGAACAAAATAATCATCAATGTTTGCGAAATGTAGAAACTTAACCTGCAAACATATGGTTTTAAAATTTAGTAGATTTGAGCATTGATTTTCAGTTTTTTTTCTGCAAAATATGAACAATTTGATCTATGTTTTTTTTCATAGATTCAAATTCATTCGTAAAGTCGGTAGCTTCAAAACAATAACATTGCTAACTAGTGTCATGAAGACTACAATATTTCAAACAAAAACAAACACCCTTCTATTTGAATTAGAGATAATCCTGAAGAAATTAATTATATGTTTGGTGTTGGAAATAATAAAGCTATAATAATTGGAAAAACATGCGTATTCCTTACAGTATTTTAATTATTCGAATTAACGGTAAGTCACATGTGCACATGGCGCGATTATTAATTAATTTTTGTGAGTATATAACTTCTATGTGATGAACGGATGGCAATATATTGATGAAGAAAACAATGTTGTAAGATTAAACACATACAAATTTCGTATTCGAATCTGTGGGTTTAACCTTTGAAATTCAAACAATATGTCTTGTTTTATATTGAAATTAATTGTAAATTCCTCTAGTTTTGGAAATTCTCGCTTGAGCCAATTACAATTTGTCCTGCAGTCCAATAATCTTAAACTTTTTAACTCTGAAAGTATTCCAATATTCACATTACAATTTAAACCATCTATCTCGAGTTTTTGTAGTGCTTGAAATTGTGAGTCTGTTGTTAAATTGATGAAACGCCGATAGAATTTGAGTTCGATCAAAGTTTTTCCACATAAATCGCCAATCATATTAAGAGTCGCCGTATCAGATTCTTGATGATCCGGATCATACAAGGAAGACTCTTCCATGAAAGACCTCCAATAATAAAAATATGGCAAATTTTCACAAAGTTTGTTTCCAAATTGAATCGATTGAACTAATGGCCCGAATATGGTCAGGAAATTCCGCGCACGATGTAATGGCAATCTACATGGTGACCCATTGGCACTCAGATATGCTTCCTTACTGTCAATATGAATCAGTATTCTTTCATAAATTAGTGGATAATATGTTATTGCATTTTCTTGAAACCGTCTGCACTAAGAAAGTCCCGAATATCATCCAATCGATCAAAGATTTCACGAAAACAATGGTCATTGAGACTGGTTAAAATATGTTTAGGCGAATACTGTGTTGGTACATTTATGTCAACTTGTGCCACTTCCGAAATCGATATATCCATATTGTGTTGCATTGTGGGATATTCAAAAATTATCTCTCTTTATGATCTCGTCAGTTGTGTTAGTTATTGGATAACACCATTTTTTGTTGGCTTAATCAAATAAATGAGAATAAATTAAATTAGAATATGACATAAATCTTCATCTATCTTCTATCACTCTTAGTTTTCAAACTTAAAAATGGCTTCGATGAAATTTCTAATGCTTGTTGATTTTTGACAAATTTCAGCGAGTAACTGCTGTAACGTAAATAATACCGATATTTCAAATTCCAAAGTTATCTTGGCGGCTTTCTTCGTTCTTGTTAAAATTATAGCGTTTTTTTTATTTTTATGTGGTGATATATGATGTTTAGCTCAAATAAATCTACTTTCTAAATGTTTTTATACCTATTTTAATTGACAACTTTAACACTTTTTAGTTTCTTTTTACCAGAAGAAAATACTAATTTCACAAAAATATAGCTTTGAATTTTTTCCCAATAATCACTGCACTCTTCAATCATTCAAAGGAATGAACAGTGTGCACTTCAGAAAGACAAAGAATCAACTAATATCCATTTCAGGTCGAAAAATTAAATGTTCTCTAAAATGTTGCTTTCGAAAATTCTTTTTCCAAGAACACTAATGATCAAATTCACCGAGACAAGGCACATTGGGCCTTTTGTTTATTTGTAGATGATTTTACAAAGAAAAATGGTTTAAAATGGGCTGTCTCTATTAAGTATACAATGTATGTAGACGGTTTTGTTTAGTTGCAGCAAAGTGGGTATTTTTTTTGTTCAAATTCCAACGGTCCAAATGACTTCATCAGACTGTTTGAACAAATATATATTTTAATAACAATTTGTATAATTTATTCAATGAGAGTTTTAAATACAAAGAATTTTCAATTTTGCAATCATACAATTTTCCATTGTTTATATTTCAGATGTTAATTTTTAATTTCTACGTTTTAAAGAGATATTTGAATTAACAATATCAAATAAACTGTCAAAAAATAGGGGAAGTTTAGTCATGCGCATAAAATCTGGTTCATGACTATACTATTTGAAGAGCATAAAGCTTTACCGTTAATAAAAGACGTTCAATTTCTTCTTGATAATTTTGTTGATAATCCTATTTCCATCGATTTAATAATAAAAAAACTAATAATTCAGGATAAAATAGTGTTAAATTTTTATTTTGCTTATTTCAATATATTTGTATAAGTGAATATAGAACATTTTGGAAGATACTGAATGAACGGTTTTGTAGACACGCTCTCTTCGTAAGCTTTTTTAGATGATGATAGCCTTTGTAGATCAAAAGATTTCAAGAGTTTCGTTGTTTATGCTCTGCTTGACAAATTCTTCCTTTTAATTTTACTATTTGGGTTTGATTTCAAAAATCAGTTAAATATATCTTGCAGTACAAATTTTACAATAAAATCTGAATATTGTCGAAGAAAATTGACATCTGAATGTGTATTACAGGTTAAATGTGTAATCAATTCAACATTTCTAGCATATTTGGTATATTATTATTTGAATTCAGTCTGTTCAACAATAGAACATGTCACTTGTGAGAAAAAGTCTTTCAATTTAATATTGAATCGACCAACTTAAACCTCTTTCAAGACAACCTTTAAACTCTTCATACAATTGTTACAAAAAGTGTTTGATTTCAAATTTAATTTCAAGAGTCGATGGAAATATACCAAAAGTGCAATCAAAACTATTTCAATCTCAATGGGTAAATTCATAATTAATCGATTTTCTTATCCAGACTGTTGCTGGTATATAATTACGGAGCAATTACTTCCATTATCACATTAACGATAGACGCCCTCGGTATAGATAATTATTTTGAAGTAAGCGGTTAAAATCGAAAAAATTTTTAATAAAGAAAAGGCTGCCGCACGACCTCCTGGCTGTCTTTGATATTGTAATGCGTTACAGTAACATATATGTAAGTTAATTGAGAAACCAATTCGAACTCAATAAAAAAAGTCAAAATTTTAATCATGGGTTGAGATTTACAGCATTTAAAAATAAAAACCTATAATTTTCTTTGGCATTTTATGTATAAATACTTGATGTTCTGCTAAAAAATCTCATTCCGTTCAAAATCGTTAAACGGAAAAGTAGTGTGAGTTTTTTTAAAAATGATTTCAAGTCAATGGGGTGCATTTGGTGCAATAAAGTTAGTGTGTAAAGTTTTGGGAATTTATTCTCATGAAGATGCTTCATTCTTCAAAAATTCGACAGTTTTTATAAATATTCTTCTGATCGTTTTCCAACTGACATTGTCATTGGCGTCATTGGCCTTTTTTTTGCGATATCTATCTAATGTCGATAGTGCCGCTGAGGTTTTAAGCATTCTATTTCCTTCGATTTTACACTTATGGCAATATTTTATACTTATTTTCACAAAATCACATCTCAGAGCCTTATTCAATGGTTTCGAGGAGCTTATTGAAAAAAGTATGCGATTTTAATAAAAAAATCTTGTATTTTTGAATATAATAAAAAAATTTCAGGATCAACCGCCGGCATAGATGCATATCAAAATTCAAAGGCGCGTGTAAATGAATTGTCCGTGGAATTTTACATATCTATTTCGATTCTATTCATAATTGTTCTGGGGATGCCCTTTTACGTTGTTTTCTATCATTTGGTTCGCGGTACATACACTTCAAACGTGTGGTTTTTGCCTTATAAAGTGTTGTATGTATGGAAAGAAAGATAATTTTTTGCCTTTTTTCTTGAATAATAAAATTAAAATTTCTTCATTTCCATACGTCAGAATGCCGTTCGATCAGAATCATGGCCTCGGTTATGCGATAACATTGATGACACAAATTTTGGGTGTTTTAATCATCGGCGGAATTATTTGCTTTATAAATACATTATTTTACGGAATTTGTTGGTAAATATGTCTCACCGCAACCATCGATTCGCATTTTAGAATCAAGAATCTCTTCTTGTAGGTACATTGAAACATTTATAAATGATCTAATGGACATTGTCAATCACATCGATGAAATTTGGACAAAAAAAACTGAAAATCATACATTTGAAAGACTTAGGACGTTTTCACTATTTCGAGAGTTTTTGTCTTTTAATGAAGATATATTCAGGTGAAAAGTCATTGAATAAATTAATTCATCCCGAAATTAAATGAGCTAAAGAACTTTTACCCACATTTCCAGACTACTTGAACTGTTTTCGGACTATATTGATGGTTTAATTTTCAGCATGTTTTTCATTGGTGTTTTATGGCTTTGCACATCTTTATATCAAATGCTATCAGTAAGTACAGGACATTCTATTGTTAAATTTATTTAAAAAGTACTAAAATTGTGTGTAAAATTTCGAAAGTTTGACATTCATTTTATGCAGTCGCTCATTTCTGCCCAAAGTGTAACCCTTTTTATGTTCATTTATTGCTATTGCGGCAACTCCATAACGACCAATTGTGAGAAAATTACGTTTTTATCATCACAATCCTGTTGGTACACGTATCCCGTAAAATATCAACTATTTTTGAAGCAAATCATATTGCGTGGTCAAAAGCCATTTTATTTGTCGGGTTTTGAAATGGCGAAATGTTCGTTTGAACAATTCAAAAGTGTAAGTTATTGTTTGCGATTTAATTAAAGGATTACGAGATATTTTTTTACTTTAACAGCTGCTCAATTTGACGGCGTCAATATTTATGTTGTTACGAGCCGTCGCTAAAAACTAAGAAACTGTAGAATAAAAACAATATGGTTGGCGTCTCCATTAATCATAATTCCGAGATGTACTTAATTCAAGACACAAACCACTCCTAGAATCTAATATCAAAATAACAGGTTTTTAAAACACATTGAGCCATGTTCAGAATCGATGTACTTAGAAATGAAAAAAAATAATTCAAATACTATTTTTATACATACACACACACGCACAACATACACACAGGAAATTCTCCATGCATCCATGGCTGTGGAATGTATGGAAATAGAGAAAAACCGTCTAATATTATAGTGCAGGTTAGCATTTAGCAAATCACACGAGCGGTTTTAATATTTTCCATCTATGGCCCATTCAATTGTTATCTGCTGGATCTCTTTTAGCGCGCCACCGAATATGCGTATCAGTACATCACGTCTTTTGCAGCAGCAGCAGCAGCTAGAGTGTTTTCATAGCAGCCGCTACAGTTTCAGTTTCGTTTAGACCGTAGATGTGTACGAACGTGATGTAAAGTGCAAGTCGAACGGAGCTACGAGATTCAAACCATTGTTATGGATTTATTTTTTATCGAAATTTCGGCAATGTGGAAATTATTATATTACTTGATTGCTGTGTGACTATTTGTGTGACAAACAAAAAATTTATTTTCACATGAAAACAATAAAAGAATTTATGAAGAGAAAATAAATAAAAATTTATTGTGTGGGTGTTGTTATTCAAAATCCGATTTTTAAAGAAAAGAATAGCGGATTCTCACTTTTTGTGGACGGTTTTTCTTTGAAACGACTTTTTTATTATTAAATTCAGTGAATGCAATCAATTGATGAATTTATACAAAATAAAACCAAAAAAAAGTTGTAAAATCCAAAAAATAAAATTGTACATGTTATGTTTTTATTGTTACAAAAATATTTTTTTTTTAAAGAACCGGTGTTCAATGTGAAAAGTATAGAAAATAAACAAACAATTGTTTGGTTTCGAATGTTTGAAAACATTTTATCAATTTAATTTACGAATTCAACAGTTCATCAGAATAACTTATTGACTGCACAAAAATATTTGTGTTTATACGATTGTGTGAGTTTGTTTAGCAAACTGCAATTAAACAAATTAGGTAATCTTTTGAAATAAACTATTATTATCAATATGAACATCATTGCATATTCTAACACTGTCGTCGAACACAAATAGATCGGCCGATAAATTATGTAAATTTTAAAATAACTGCTGATACTTTGATTCAGATGATTGAAAGCTACAAAACGGAAAACAGATGTTTTTGAAAACCCAGAGGTGGTTCGCTCTAGGAGTTTTTCAACACATTGGTTGGCGCGTATACGATACGATTTCAGTGCATATATTCATTATTTCGAAAAGTGCATTCAAAGCAGCACCGCAGCACAGCTATGCGAGTGTGAAAGAGACTTGCCAAGTGCCTCAAAAACCATAATGATTCATAATTTATGTCTTTATTGGCATTTGCTGTGTTTGTAAAAAGCCAATTATTTAAAAACATTTTGAAAAATGAGCGTTTCTACATCATTCATCCGAAGTTGTGGTTGGTGTATGTGTGTTAAACTGGCTAAAGAATTTCCTGTAGTGATTTTGTAGAAATTTGATGACACATTCAAATGCAGTGTTTTCCAATGAGATCGCTTTGATTTAGTTCGTTTGCTGACTGGTACAGTTTTAAACGTTCCGATCTTTTTTTTAACAGTGAAAGAATAAGGGAAAAATGTCTATAGCAGCAGAAAAAAAACTATGGCAAAAGATTTTTTTTTTTTTCATTTATAAACTTTTTTTTTTCGACGATTCTCTATCTATTTTATCGTCGTTTCTTAGCTACCAGCTATTCGCTGTGTGGTTTTTTTTTCTGTTAAAGTGTATGCGTTATGTGTGTGTCTGTATGTTTGGTTGCATTTGCGAATGATGAAGATAAAGGAAACATGCAATGGTGACGACTACGACAAAAACATGAAATAGAAGAATTTATATGATGGTCGTGTGCACAATATGCGACACCACGTCGTCTAGACTGAATCACAACAAAACCACGCGCACGAGTGTTGAATCGAGAGTGCCTGTGCCTGTGTGCTGAACAAATAAGAGGAAATAAAGGTATACAAGCAAGGCCTAACTTCGTACAGAGACTCCTCTGCCTCGTCGAATTTCTTCTTTTTTTTTCCTCTTCTTCTTCTTTCGGTTCATTCTGTGCACATGATCCGATGTTAAGTAATAATAATAATCATAATCGTGGTGCACAGATTCCCACTCACATACATATTCAAGCACACATGAACAAAACAAAAGAAGCCATAACACCATAACAGAAACGAAGTGAAGAAGAGAGAGAGAGAGGAGACGAGAAAAAAAAAGAATCAACACGAGAAGAATGAATCGCACATATGCATGCATTGCCTTCAAAACATTTACACTCGATAATAAAACGCATCACATAGGCCTGTTTGTCGTTCAAATCCGAAGACAACACATACACATATGCACCAACGCGACAAAATTCAATCGAAGAAAATGTGTTAAAAGAAAGAGGAAGAAGAAGAAGAAGGAGTTAAAAGTTAAATAACAAATAATAAGAATCAAATAAAATAAACGCACAATGGAAAATCGTACAATAACATACACTTGAGCATCGGATCGTGTGGTTAACAAAATTGTATGCAACACATTGTATTTGTGTTTCGACGACCTAACGAGAGAAATAAAATGTAAAATATAAAAGGAGAAAAAAATACGAGAATCTATAAATTCTGGCGCGTGAACAAATGCACACCGACAAACAGGCAATAATAAAGCAAATTCTTCTCATTTGCAGCGTTTGTTTTCTTTCAAGCAAATGTAATGCCACTGATGTCACTGACATTCACATCAGTAACCAGTTCGAGTCGTAAGTTTGTTAGGCTTGAAATATTGAAAAACGTGAATTGAGTAAAATTCTTTTATGCAGACAGAATTCCGATCGATCAATGTATTTGAAATGCTTGTTCTTTTTACAGCTTCAACAAAATGATTGAAGCTGAATTGGTTCAAAATTCATTCAAATAAGGATATTTGATTATTTCTTTTTTTTATCTACTAGCAATCAAACGACCCGATTGGATAAACAATATGTAGATTTTTTTGATAGGCTAATTTGGAATTCCCGATGGCAATTCAAAATTGACTTTAACACAATCGCAAACATTAAAATCGATAAACATTTTTTTTATTGCTTATTTACAAAGGCCTTTGAACTACTAACTAAAGGAACGAAATGAACAAATGAATGGCTGTAATAGTTCAATTGATTGTTGTTTTCGTTTTATTTATGGCAAATACATAAAATCAACTGAGCTTCCAATTCACAATTAATAACAAGCGATTTCTAAAAAAGGAAAACAAAAGATAAAGAAAACAAAAATAAAGCGCGCGCGCGGCAACGATCTCAAATCACAATGCACGAGCATCCAAGCAGGGAGCCCAAGAAATTGCCGCATTCGCAACTGTGCTCGGATCATACATCCGATTAAATGCAATTGCTTCGCAGTTTGTAGACAAATTGATACTGTTGCATAGATAAATAAAACCTTTGTTTATGGAGACATTATACTATATGCTATAAAATTTTAACGCCTGCGGCGACGATGCAATACAATTCCATTGCTGTACTAATTGTGCACTCGAATAGTTGTTATTGTTGATTCGCACATTTCGCTGAAGCATCGTTATGGAAAAATCATTCGCTATCTGATCATAATCAGCATGAAATCAGATTCATTGGAATGTGTTTGATTTCGGGCGATGCAATGTAGCTTGTTGAGCTGGTGAGTTATACATGCCCCGTCATTCGTTAAATGCTGATTCTAAATGTAAAGAATATTATTTAAATTGCACACAATTTAGCCTTGTTTCGTATGCGAATCTACATTTCGACATAGATCACATTTACGCTTTTTGCATTTCATCAAGCTGTGAATTATGGCCCGTAAATAGAAAATCCTATTCGAAAATTCAAGTGGTTCAATTGGTGTAAGCAAGTTTGACCAAAAATCAGCCCAAATAAAATTTAGCTTTAAATAAAATAAACAGTGCGGTAAATTTTGTGCCAGCGCGATAAACCGCTGATTGAAAATCAAACTCGCCATTCATATCCGGACCATGGAAAAAATATTATTGACATTTTGAGGTACATACAGTGTGGCCAGCAAACCAAACAAATACGATACGACGGCGTATATATTTATGAAAATCGAATCGAATTTTATGTAATGCGTGCCAAAGTTTTATGCTCATTACTCAATTGTTCTGCATTGTTTCCACGGCTTAAATCAATTATGAAATGAAATTTTAATTAAACGCACCCAAATCAAATTTTATCCGATGTACGTGGGGATTTTCTCTCGTGTAAAACTTTGAATTTATAATATAATTTGGGCTGCTATTTAAACGAAATATGGATTTTTATTGATGCGAAAATAATTCGAAGTTCAAACATTGAACATATGAATTGAACGCACAATGCTACATACAAACATTTAAATAGAACATTGAAATTTGAGTTACATTTCAAATGGTTGCGTTGAATGGTATCACAAATACCAAGCCATGATCGATTTGAATGCGATTTATGCAAATGAAACAAAAATGCGGCAGCATATCGATACGCGCCACTGTAGTCGGCGTAATTTGTTACAATTGATGCATTGCATTTTAAAATTGATTTGTTATTCAGTATTCGTTGTGTGTTTGTATTTGCTTGATATGGTGCTATAGTGTTCAAAAGTGCGTGCCACATGTTTTCAAAATTTTATTTCAATTCCGATGAAGTTTGTGTGCGGTTCGGTAAAGTCAATATACAAAGAATTCAAAACAAATACAAGGTATGATTTTCGTATTGACTGATGCAAACACATTCGCCGTTCATTTTAGTAGTTGTTTCGTTTTAATGTGGAATGCGGAACGAAGCAAATCAGTTTCTACATCATATGCTACCAAGTGAATTTGTTGTTCAATATTCATAGGCTTCTGACTCTTTTTGAAGCCGATTTTTCTCTCTTTACTGACATTTTGTAGCAATTTAGAGAGAGAAAGAGAGGAAGTCAAGCCAGAACGAACAATCAATAAATCATCGCCGGCGAAAGCAATTCATGTGAAAAGTGCAAGACTGGTATGGTGGCATTTTCCACATGCATGACATCGCCATAATGGGAATACATATCAACTACACATTCAATGCACCATGTCGACTATTTACAAATGAATGTTAAACGAAAAAACGCTGTCATTTTGGTTTGAAGGGACACACCACACCGATATTGAAATACACTTTTCAATTTTATCACTTGTTTCTTGTTTTGTTCAATCTCAACATAATTAAAGTCATTTGAAATTCTCATTTTTTTATATGCTGAATGAGCACTCATTCAAATATTTAAAATTGAATGGCAAAAGCGTCTATGGAGTAATAAGTCTATTTGTGTTCGATTGGGTGCCCAAATATATATATGTATCGCCCCCGAATTAAATTTAAAAAAAAAAGTCATTTAAATCAGTTGCACTAAAGTTGTTGGTTCTCTTCATATTTTGCAGCATTTTTCGCTTTATTTTTTTTCGTTGTTGGTGAACATCGTTTAGTGCTTTGAACCCAAGAATATAGAACGCGTATGGAATACTTGATTCATTCTCTGTGCTTGTGTTCGCGTCTCCCGCCCCAAATGGATTGTTGAAACTCTCAATGGTAAAAACAAAGGCGTTCAAGTAAAAATGCACACTGTAAAAGTGACGCCTTGGCTGCTCTACAAGCATCAAACGATATTTTATCGTTAATTGCAAATATAAATAACCTCGAGAGAGTAATATACACACTAACAATCTATTCATACGGACCGTTTGCATTTTATGCATGCGTCCGTGCGCATTCACAAAAGAAGTGCAAAAAACAACAACAACAACAAGTCTCGAAAAACGAGATTCGCAAAATATAAATGCAAAAAAGGGAAAATAGGATAGCAGTACCAACCGTAATATTAATAACGAATAGAGGGAACACGCTTTGGCACAACAGAGAGAAAGAAAAAAGAAGAAAAACACAATACTGCTAACTGCAACACACAAGTGGAATGCAATTCAACAAACGCTCCGAAATACGGAGGGAAATAAATTTGTGTTGTACAAATCTCAAATAAAATCGAACAAAAAAAAGAGAGAGAAGAAAACAGAAAACAACCGGAGAACAAAACGAGGAAAACCAACGCAACCGGCTACACAATTGAGTGATCAACTGCTCGGAAAAGTACGGAATTTATGCGAAAAACTGATTTGGTTTTTATGTATTCGGTCAACTCTACCAGCGATTTAAGAAAATAATTGTAATTTCTTGTGATCTCCATCGGACCCAAAACCACAACCAATTCACCATGGCCGGAATGAATTTCATTATTTTAAAGGTGAGTAATATAAATTAAAAGGGTTTTATTTCTTTGACAGAACATCACCATGGATTTTAATATAACCAAATGTGTAATTGAACCCCTTTTCCAAGCCCATCCATTTATTTGAATGTCCTGGCTTTATTTATTTAATTTTTTTTGTTGTAACGTAACAGTGACAGACTCTTGCAACGAAATACAACACTCGTTTGATTTATGACTTCGTATTTGGTGTTGGTTAAATTGATTATTATGTTTAATGATGGGATACTCGAAGAAAAATAATATATTTTATTTCAAACAACGTTGAGCTATCTTATCATGTGTGATATGACATTATTTCAGAAATGTTATCGCTTTTTTCGCTTATTATTATTATTATTTTCAAACTTGAATGCTCGTGAATCTGTTCACAAAAGTATTTTAAGCAGCGCTTCAGATTAAACCATGTGTTGCCTAAAAAAATCCAAGCTACTTGCTTGTCTCGAGATTTCTTTCCACATTGAAACTCACTGTCGTTCATTGCTTGCGTCCAATTTTTGTTATATGTTGCTTACATGTTTTCATTTTCTTTGCATTTCTTTCTCAATTTAAAGAGAAAATGTGAATATGAATGTGAAATTACGACTTTTGTTCAGAAAAAGAAATCAGCAAATTCAGTTTCGTCTAAAGAAGATAAGTACACAGATATCGAGATAATGTTCTTGTCTACCAAAACGAAGCCGAAAGTAAATAAATCGAGACACAACGTGTACACAATCAAGTTGCGGTACGAAAGCATATAAATTCAAAATTATCAGCCTACCATAAATCTATTTTCCAAAAAATATGTGATGGATTATCTCCCTATCGGTTATTAAATTAGTCCCATGAGGCAGCCTTCTGTAATTTCATGTTTAACATATATAAAGGGGCTGAGAGCGGCTCGTATTCAAACATGTTACTGTTCTATTGATTCTGCGCCTCATTTTGATTGACAGAAAATGAAATACGACATCGTGTTCGGCTGTCATTATTACACAAAATATACCAAAATTCGTTACAATAATATTCTAACAAAAAACACTTTTTTTCCATCGGGGGTGAGAAATATGAGCGCCGAACAATAACACGAAAATAAATTGTAATTGTTGAAATGTATTGTTGGCATTAAATGTGATTTGTTGTTGTTAATTATGGTCTGGCGAAAAATCCTCGAATAAAAGTAACGTGATTTATGTATGTCGTTGATCATCTTCAACCAAGCTCAAGTGGTTGTGTGTGTGTGTCCATGCCCACCACCTGCATACTTTGTCGATGAACAAATTTGAATAAAAATAGAATCGCCTATTCTGATGATGGTGATGATTCACTTTGAGAAGAGATGTGAATGGTCGACGATGGATGACGGCTGCAATATATTATAGTTTATATACTGAAGCATTTTAGAATATTTTGCATATTGTACGTGACAGAATCTGTCATTTATTCACAGTATTTCGTTTTCTCTCTCTCTCTCTCTCTCTCTCTCTCTCTCTCTCTGGGTAATGCTAGAAATATAATATCTCTTCAATATACGACCGAAATAGGCGTACAACAAAGGATAATTGAAGTTTTATATTACATATTTTTTTCGAAATTTAATACAGCTGCTTTGGCACGGTTCTAACACGAACAAAACCAGCATGGGAATAACTAAATGGGTCGCTATGTCACATTCAATCACAACCAACTGTGCTTCAATGCGAATTCACTTGACTTTCGGCCGTCATTTCATTTTTGCCTGTCATAATCTCGTTGGCACCTTATATACATTTTCAATGTTAGAAGTCGTCGCCATCAAAGCGTGCACAAACCATTGATAACCGTGAATAGCATAATTTCACTGATAATCTTTCGCCTGGCGTGTGTATACTATTTTGCGTTTTTTGCGTCTTTTCACATTTTCACCTCAAACTGTGCGTCTATTCCATTTGATCACTTCTTCATTTTCATTTCATGGTGATAGACGCCAATATCTACTAATACAACCGCAGAAGGAACATCGAACTGCGTTTGTTCACAAAACTTTCTTGAGAACGCATTATTGCGAAGACGTGAAGTAAATGGAATGGAACACATCGCCTGGGAAAGGCAGAGGTTAAATGGAAAATAGGGAGAAAAAATCGAATTTTTTTTCTTCATATTTGTTTTCTTGTATTTTTTTGTACACATAATCTTCATTGGTTGGTCTTTTTTTTTGAAGCATGTTGCTTCTGCGAAAATTGTTTCGATCGTGCTGTGCCACAAAAATATAAATTGTGCACATATAAAAAAAGTAGATCGACAAATGCTTCATTGTGATTTTCTCCAGCACACATTTTTATGACTGTTGAGACAAAGAAAAGAAAACGATATAAAATAGCTGTAAAAATGAAACGAACAACAAACAGAAGGATAAGAAATTTCCATGACGTCTTTGGAACGTTCTTTGTTTGAACCTGTTTCTTTGCACAAAACGAATACGATTTGACAAAAGAATGAACTGTAAAATTCAATCGTGTGTTTCTACTGTTAAACACACTCCATTCACCACGAACTGCGCACTCTTTGTCTATTTGTGTGACTTTTTTTGTTATATGTGCTTGTGTTCATTTCAAAATTAACCAAATTTAGAATAACAGACGCAGCGCTCGTAATACATAACGAAAGGAACAACATGAACGCACTATGTAAACAGCTAAGTAGTAAATTCGTGAAATAAATATTCGACAATTTCCAAGTACAGCGCAAACACAGAATGAACAGCGCAAAGGGATCGGGGAAAAAATTGAAAGTACCATTGAACAGTGATGCTATGCATGGCCTTTGTCGACGATTTAGTTTACATTTAAATGCTTTTTTTATTGTGTTCGGTGTGGTGCTCATTTTTTCCACATTGTTGGCGTCGTGTTCATTATTTCAGATGCTCAATATTTAAAAACAGTCAAATCGATAATATAAAATCTCTTCATTTGAACTCAACGCAAATCGGTGCATTACGCTATGCTTCAACGCAATCTCAATGGCCTTTCATTATAAAAATGTGTGAGTCGTGGCTTTTAATCGAGAGAGTTTTTGACTTTTTAAATACGCATTACCAGGACCATCGGTTTTTCAATTGCCCTTGTACGTTCTCTTCTGATCCTTTTCCCCTTTCACCTCAATCTGCTGGGCACAATTTCTATTTTGACGCAGTCGATTTTATACTTCGATGCCATTATTATTATTATCATTATTTCCATCGAAATGTACCATTTTTCATCGCCAATCGGGATTTTATTTTGTGTAATTTTTCAAAAGATTTTTTCGTGCTGCGCTCTCTCACATCGTCAATGACTGTTTGAACATATTGTGTTTATTTAATAAATTTCTTTATGTACGAATGTAATCATTCAAACGAAATGCTCTTTATTTTTCCATACAGTGCTTTGTGCAAATAGACGAATGAACGCAACGCCAATTTTCCAAATAAAATAAGATCGAAATCATCAATACAAGCAAACACAAGTGCTGATGAACTATACATTGAAAATATGATGTACATATGTCTACAGTCTGTGCTTCACTGTATTATTGAGTTTACCGTTTAAACTGTGAAGACATGTGTACGCACATTCGACAACTCCATATGAACAAATATGCGTTCGTCAAGATGAATATTTATAAATACAGCCTGTGAGATTCATTGCTTCGCATTTCCTTTAGCCATATATTGTGTAGAATGTGGAACTAGATAGTAATTTGAAGAACTATGTTAAATCATTAGCTTGTTTGATACACTCTCCGTCCGCACCAGTAATACGACGGGTGAAATGCAGTATGTCTACACATGGTGTATAACTATTTAATGTTGCCAAAAGACAAAGTATGCTCATAATATAAATTCTCTCTGCGGTTGATGCGCAATCATTACAATTTTGATAAATTAACTGCGTTTAGGTAATAAAGAACAGAAGAAAGCGTTAAATAATTCTCCATATATTTCTTCCACACTATTGAAACCGTTTGGGTGTTGACAACACACACCATCGACAAAAACCTTTGGAAAATCCGTTCATTTGTAAAATACATCTGAATGTAATGAGACATTTATTTTTCGTAATCGTTTCGAATAAACTTTCATCGGCGAATGGCCAATAAAATGACTTGAAACTTGAAATTTACCCGGCCACAACCGCACAAATCGACAATACAATCGCTCTGTGATTTACCACCCCGGATTGCTTCATGCAAATTTCACCATTTAACGAAATTTTACAAACAGATTATCTGTGTTGTGCTATCGCTGACAGAAACCACAAACTGACACTTTCTAATAAAACATTTCACACACATAAAACCGTTGAACCAAATGTTTGATTACCGCGCGCACGCATACAAATTCAAAATGCAAATAACTTTTCGCCAGTTTGATTTGAGTGTTTTATAATATTCAAAGCGCAACAAAACTCTCCGTAATATGAACATGTAACATAATATTGTATATATGTTGTGAAAGAGAAGAGAGATTATTGCACGGCACAGTTGGTTTTTGTTGCGACAATAATCATCGATTCTCTTAATGGGTGCAATCAGCTTTAATAGGCTCATTCGCTGGGCTACATAATTTTGTAGGCGTTCGAAATGTTTGTCAACACAACGCCACAATATTCAAATGACTCTTTTATTTGTTTGATTATCCTGCGGCGCTAAATAATCGAAAAATAAAAATTGAAATGAGAAATTGTCGGTTATGCTGGTATTGTGGACTATTGTAGACAATCCGCGCGTTGTCTAAATTAATGTTAATTCACATTTACGATAATCGGCATGAGTTCTGATGGCAATCACCCAATATCTTCTACATTTCCCATGTCTTTTAAATGAAAAAAAAAAAAAAACGTTTTGCTGATTAGGAGGGGAGGTTAATAAATGTGCGCGCGCGAGACTCGTCTTTGACTTTCTCTCCGTGAAAATCACTATACTACCAAGTTTTTGCTCGTGTTGGCATTTTATTTGGATTTCCATTATCTTTGTTT